TCTTGCCTATATTCCAAAGGTGATGAGTACAAATATATAAATGATGTAATGTGCCTGACACCTGATCCTGCAGTTGTCTGACAAGATTCAAGATTTCTATCACAAGGTCTATGGTACCAGTGCTACTGCTCCCATGCTCACCCATTGTAAGTGTGAGCTGATGCAGGCCATATGGGCATTCCTTATTGATGACAAATTCCTCCATGTGTATGAACATGGTATGATAATCAAGTTTCCTGATGGATTAGTATGCAGGGTCTTTCCACAGCTTTTGACATATGCAGCTGATTATCCCAAAAAGTACATGTACTCATCACCTACATGTGCCACTACCAATAACATGTTTACAGAATTCTACTTGCTTCTATGAAGTATTTGGGGAAATACCTGTGTCCCTGCTGTCTTGTTGGGAAGGAAAATATTTCAAAACTTGGGTCAAAGAGAGATCATCAGGTCTGCAGAAAAAAGGAGCGAGTGGATAATGAGCCCCAGCAGTTGTCTATTGAACATGCACACAAAGCTATATTTGAAGCTGGTTGTAGCATCATTGTGGCTGTTGTTGAGAACATTCTTGGTGTGCTGTCCCTAGTTCCTACAGGGGCATGTACAAATTTTACCTCATTTGTCATACTTGCTGACACACTGCTAGAATGCATTCTCTGAAAGTTTATCACAGTTCATGTTCAACTTCTACCACATGTTTGTGCCTGACTTCATGCATGAATTTGAGCTTGGAGCATGGAAAGTGACTTTAACCCACTTGATATGGATCCTATTCAAAGTGGGCAACAACAAAATTCAATGATGAACCACATCCTGGGCCACCTGCTAGGCAATATATCAGACAATGGTGAGGGCAAAGAATTTACAGTTGCTCAATGAAATCACCTGATCATCATCAAAAACCATCTCTACAAACACAAGTTACTACATGTGAATTATACAACATACGACCTTCACTGTATGCAGGATTCAGTCAACCCCCACACCCACCCTGACATTATGGTCCTTTTGCATGAGGATGAAGATAACCCCCACCCCTATTGGTATGCATGTATAATTGGTATCTTCCATGTTGAGATCCAGTATAATGGACCTGAGCTCAACGATTGTTCACTCAAATGCATTGACTTTCTGTGGGTGCAATGGTTTGCTTGTGATTGGCATTTCAAGTTGGGCTGGGCCTCTTGTCATCTGCCATGTGTCAGGTTCTATCCTGAAGACAATCTTGACAATGCATTTGGATTTGTTGACCTGAATGATGTTGTTCATGCCATACATATCATTCCAGCATTTCATTTTGGGCATACATCAAGTCTTTTGGGCACCTTGATTGCTCACCAAGAAATAGAAAAGGATGAAGATTGGGACCGGTACTACATCAACATGTAAGATTTCCATTTATTCTGATTTCTTGCAAGCTCTCTAACACCACAATCCTTGAAGGTTGTTGACTGAGACATGTTCATGCGGTTCCATGGTGGTGGTGTGGGGCACAAAATGACATGTGAGGTAACTTGCTGCCTCCTTGATGACTGGGACAAGCTGGACAATGCACTGGTAACTCTGGAATGGGAGCATGCATTCATGCATGGTAATGAAGACTCAGATTCTGATGGTGATGATGTAGATGAGCAAAAAATCATCATGGATGAAGAGGGTGAAGGTGATTCTGACATGAGCAGAAGCATGCATTTCTCATCTGATGAGGGATCCATTTGCAGTGATCTAGCTGACAAGATGGAAGAGTATGGATATGGCAATCTTGAACAAGTTGTCTAGGATGAGAGTGATGACATCACACAGACTGGTTTGGATGTCAACAATGGTGCTGGGGGGAACCCAGATGATACAGAATTTGACTATGGTGACCTTTAACACTTGCCTGTGTACTACATGAGTAAGGAATGTAAGCAATGGATAATCGTCTTGGAAAGCATTGGTAAGCATTGGTAAGGATATGTAAGCCAAAAGGCAAAGAATCAGTAAGCAAAGTCAAAAGATTGGTAAGTATTGGCAACAGGTGAGTCAAAGACAGTCAGAATGTCAAAGTATGAGCCAAGTAATGTAAGGAACTGGGAAAGCACACTGGAATTGCATTGGGGGGAGACTGTGCATTCACATCTTGAAGAGATCACTCCTAGGCCAAGGTGGGATGACAGAGAGGCAGTGCTGATCTGATGCCAATATAGTACATCCAAAAGTGGACAGGGTGAGTCAGATGTCAACAGGGGTCAAGCTTTGGGGGTCTGTGGGGTGACAAGAGCATAGGGGATCACAACTTTCCCCCCCAAACCATCCTCTCAGTGAAGTAAATAAAAACTTCATGAATGAGGCTCTGTTGGAAGAGAGGATGGAGGGGGAGTGTCTTCTGCTGTATCTTGCAACAAGGAGGCAAGATGTGCATCATACTCATCATGGATGTGATCAGGGAGAGTGGAGAACAGTAGATTATACTGTAGCTGTTGCAATCTTGGAAGAATGATGGATAAGACTGGTATGAAGACATTGCAGGGAGCAGGGAGGAAGGATCCATATGCTTCTTGGACTGGAGAGACTGAAACAACCACATAAGGCCTTTCCAAGCAAATGACAGACCTGAGGTGACCAAAGAATATCCTCCTAGAGGTCATACTGACAAAAAGAACATGCTGTCCAAGCTGGATGGGCTGAGAGGGGGCAGACAAGTGAAATGATTGATGTGGAGGCAGCCATATCAGAAGAATTAGCAAAATGAGTGTAGTCAGTCTTTGGTCAATCCAAGAATTTCACCTCTAGTGACCAAATACTAATGCCCCAAACTGTCCCTATTAATCATTACAGTGATCCTAGAAACCAATGAAATAGAACCACATGTCCTATTTCATTAATCCATGCTAATGTATTTGGGCATGACACCTGCTTTGAACACTCTAATTTTCTCAAGGTAAACATCCTGGTTCCCCAACACACCCAGTGAAGGGCATGCCAATTCACCAAGAGGAAAGGCCCAGCCAGACAGTATGATGCCTTTCAGCAGACTGCCTGCCCAGGCCCAAGGTTCAACTACAAGCTTTTTAACTGCAACAACTTTAATATATGCTATTGGAGCTGGAATTACTGCATCTGCTGGTACCAGACTTGCCCTCCAATCATTCCTTGTTAAGAGATTTAAATTGTACTCATTCCAATTATAAGACCCAAAAGAGCCCTATATTGTTATTTATTGTCACTACCTCCCTGAGTTGGGATTGGGTAATTTGCATGCCTGCTGCCTTCCTTGGATGTGGTAGCCATTGCTCAGGCTCCCTCTCTGGAATCAAACCCTTATTCCCTGTTACCCATTGAAACCATGGTAGGCCTCTATCCTACCATCAAAAGTTGATAGGGCAGATATTTGAATGATGCATCACCAGCATGAGGCCATGTGATTTGAGCAGTTATTATGAATCACCAAGAGAGTGGTGAACTGTGTTGGTTTTTTATCTAATAAATACACCCCTCCCAGAAGATCTCTGTAGTATGTTTTATTTATCAGTTGGTAGGTAGTGTGTTGTGTCAGGGCATTTAATTGTGCTCCTTCTATTTGGAATTCTGGTGGGATTATTATTTCTGGGTGCCACATTTCTTCTGTTGTTGGTTTTTCTGTCTTTAGTAGTTTTGTTAGTTTGTTGTGCATTTGTTTTGTTTCATCTTTTTTGTTATTCAGGTAGCAGAATGTGGTTTTGTTTCCTCATTGTCAGGCTAGGTAGGCTAGTTCTTTCCATAGCTTGGAGTGTGGAACATCTAGCCAGTCTGTATCCTCCCATGACTGTAGTTTTTTGGTTATGCAATTTCTGTTTTTTCTTTGTTGAGTTTGGCTGTTGATGCTAGGCAGAAGGTTTGCAGGATGTTGTCAAGGATGTTTAGATCATCCTCTTCCATGGTGTAGGTGAGGGTGTCATCTGCAAAGAGGGTTACTTTAACAGGTTCAGCTAGTTCAGGTATTTTGATTCCTTTTAGTTCTGAGCTTCTTATGACAATCACAAGTGGTTCAATGGCCAGGCCATATAGCAGGCATGAGACAGGATTGCCCTGTCATACTCCTCTGTTTATCTTGATTGATTGTGAGGTGGTTCCATTTAATGTTATTGTGGTTTCTACATTTTGGTAGAGTTCTTTTATTGTGTTTATGAAGGGTTGTGGGAAGTTTGTTTTTTGGAGTACCATCCACAGGTAGTTGTGGGCTATTTTGTCATATGCTTTTTCCTGATCTAGGGAGATCATGCATCCATTGATTGTTGTTTGTTTGCAGTGTGATATTATTAAGTTTGACAACATGATATGATCATATATACTATGGTTTGGCACAAATCCAGCTTGGTCCAGGTGGATCAGTGACTGTGCCACTTTTCCTAGTTTTGATGTGAGTGCTTTTGTCATGATTTTGTAGTCTGGTTTGACAGGGCTATTGGGAGGTAGTTTTCAATTTTCTTCTTGTCTTTCTTTTTGTAGAGGAGTGTCATGTTTCCTTTTGCAAAATTGGGGTCATGTATTCCATGTTTTTCCATGTCATTGTAGAGTGTGTTTAGGATTTCAGTTATTTGGATGTCTTGGTCTTTCTCTCAGGTTTTGTAGAATTCATATGACAGGCCATCCAGTCCTGGGGCTTTCCTGTTCTCACTGTTTTTGAGTGCTTTTTCTATGTCTAGCTTTGTCAGAGATTCTGCAATGTAGCTTTTTTGTTGGTCATTTAGGGTGTTTGTGATTTGGGCCATTTTATGGGTGTTGTTTTGTATTGTTCCTTCTTCATCCCCAAGGGAGTATATTACATTTTGGGTGTTGATTTCTTTGTTCAGGGTGTACCAATACTTTGAGTTGGGTTGCCAAGCCTCCATAAGCCAAAGCCTATGAGGGGCATGTGTAGGGGGTCATTTTGGTTATTACCAGGTGGTGGTCTGAGAGGTTGCAGTGTTCTGCTACTTCCCAGTGTTGGTAGTTGTCAGTTTGTTCTATGTTTATGTATATTCAGTCCAATCATGCTAGAGCTGTAGGTTTTTGTTTTTGTAGGTATACATCCAATCTTGTGGGTTTTGGGTTCTCCACCCATCTACAAGGTGTAGTGTTTCCTTTATTTTACTAAAAGTGTTTATTGTGGTTGCAACATCCACATGCACTGGCAGCCTGTCTATTGGGCATTCTACAAAGTTGAAATCACCAAGTATGATGGGGTTTTCCCAGTTGTCTATTTGGTTTATTTTGTCCTTTAGGGTTGATCAGAATAAATGTTTTTCTCCTAGTTCATCAGGTGAATAAACATTTATTAGGTGTAGTGTTTGTTCATCTGTTATTTTTATCTTTAGTGTTGCCACCCTTCTGGGCACAATTATGGTGTGTTTGAGTTTTTTGTTTTTAAGCAGGTCTTTGTTTAGGGCAAAGGCTGTCCCAGCCAAGTGGTTTTCTGCTCCAGACAGGTTGTTTAGGATCATTAGTTTGGGGGGATGTTTCCTAGTTCTGATTCTTCTCCTTGTTTGAGTTTGGTTTCTTGTAGTGCTGTGCACAGTATGTTGTGTTTCCTTATTGTTAAATGTTGTGATTCTTGTGCCTTATAGTTTTTTCCTTGGGTTTTGTTGATTGGTGTCATTATCATTTTGTGTTTGTTGTTCATTTGCTTAGTCATTCTTTCACTCCTGTGCAACTTGTCATTGACTTGCACCAGGAGCACATCCTAAAGATCATCACTCCAGAGTCCTTTCAGCTGAATACCTTCACTCCATTCAACATCCCCCTCTCAGTCAGCATCTGTTCATCTACTCCTGCATAACTCATCAACAACTTGCACTAGGAGCACCTGCTATCACAGTTCCCCCTACATTAGATTCTTCTGCCCTCCAGGTTCTGTGGAGGCAAACCACCACTCACTCATATTTTGTCTTTGGTGTTGGATTTGGTTGGTTTTCACTGCCTTTCCACACTTTGACTCACAATGGTCATATCTACATTCCTCTTTTACTTGTTTTCTTAAGTTCTTGCATGAGGTCTTACAGTCTTCTTTTTAGTTCAAACAAGGGGAAGCCCCTTCTCCCCACCAGAGTGGTTTACATCAGTACAATTGGGTTTGGACATCTTAGTCTGTGCATTCAGTGAATTAGGTTTTGGTTTATCAAGGTTTTGGTTTATTGTATTTTTAGTTAATTATAAGCCATGTTTCATAAGTAAGGTTGTTGTAGAGCCAGCCAGGGGGATGGGTGGTTGAGCCCATTCCCTAAGGGGCTGGTTGGTCTACTACATTTTATTTGGGTCTTGTATTGGTATTAGACCATCTCTTTTATTGCAAGAGTAGATGATGTCATTTATTTTGGCATCCCAGTTGCATAGCTACCAGTTTGCTAAGGAGTTTTCTCTCCCTTTTCTACCTAGGTGAGCACCATGACAGTTGTTTGGTTCAGTAAGGTGGTTGTGCAGCAAATGGTTTACAGTGAAGTTGTCTCTTTGGGGCCCCAACTACCCTCAGTCACAAGGCTTGTTTGGTTCAGGTGAGGTGGTCATACAGACCAGTTCATGTGGAAGTTGTCTCTCCTGTTCATTTCCTTGGGTAGTCATGCATGTTTATTATGGTAAGGTGCCCACATTGCAAGCTGTTTATGGGGAAGTACTGTGGCAGACAATGTGGAGGGGTGGGATATGGCTTTGTAGCCAGGGACTGGGGGAGCCAACAGGTCCCTGACTCCCTCCTGGCAGCATAGACCTTCGCTTATTGCAAAATATACAAAGTTTATGCCAAACATTGTATATTTTACACCTCAGTACTGGCACTCGCCACTTATTTCCAACTTATCCCTGCCATTCCTGTGCACTTTACACACTTTGTAGTCTGCTCTTTCTGTAGTTGTTTGTAGCCCTTCGGCCTCTACAATGTAGCATGTCCACCAACTAATAGACCTTCCAGATCTGGTAAGCTTACTAAGCCATCAGTGTTGGGCTCGTTGCTGCCCATCCACCCATGGCACTACGTGCATGTCCACATTTGTGCTCAACGTGTCATATTTCACCAGTGTAGGTGTGTGCCATTGATGTCCACACTCATGCTCAACCTGTTTCCTGCCAGCTCCTCCCCATTGCCCTGTGGCATGCACACTCTCTGACTGCACATATCCCCTCCCAACATTCTGGCTTGCTTTGGAGCACATACCCATCCTGCTGTTGAAGACAAAGATGTTTGCATTCATGTTCACTCCAAATGGTGATTGGTGGGTGAATTTTCACCCCCCATCCTTTGTTTTGTGCACTCACTGAGTTGTCGAAGACACAGATGCTTTGTACTTGCTTTGCCCACTGATCAGTAGACAAATTTTAGGCCCCCCACCCTCATTCTTTGTGCCTGCCCTGTCATTGAACATGAAGGCATTCGCATTTGCTCTGCCCACCAATCAGTAGGTGATTTTTGGCCCCTGACCTTTGTTTTGGGCACTCACCTGGTTGTTGAAGATGATGATGTCCACACTCGCTTTGCCTGCTGATCAGCAGATGGTTTTTGGGCCCCACCCTGTCATCAAAGATGAGGTGTGTTTGTGTTCCCTCCATGCACCGATTGGTAGGTGATTAGACATCCATGCTTGCTTTGCCTGCTGATTGGTGAATGATTTTTGAGCCCCCACCCTGTCCTCAAAGATGAAGATGTTCACATGTGTTCTGCCCACTGATTGTTGGGTGAATTTTTGCCCCTCCCCCCACCAAGGTCATCGAAGACAAAGATGTTTGCATCCACATTCATGTTCACTCCACCCATCAATTGGTAGGTGATTTTTGGCCCTCCACCTTTGATCTTTGCACTCACCATGTCCTCGAAGACACAGAGTTCACACTCACCCCACCCACCAATTCATAGATGATTTCTGGGCCCCTGCCCTTGTTTTGCATGCACACCTCGTTGTTGTTGGAGATGAGGATGGCTGGTCTTGCACACATGATTTACACCATGTGCCTGGATGTTGGCTGCACCGATGAATGTGTGCACAATGCCACTGCCTGTGCCTTTTCTGTTGTCATGCCTGCACTGGGTATCCCAGCATCGCTTCCCTTCCTCAAGCTGATTCACCATACTACATGAGAAGTCATGGTGGGCTTGTCACACAGGTGTCTGTATCGTTCAGCAGATTGCCATCCTGATTGGCTGTGCTGTCCTTCCAAAGTCATTGACTGCATCCTATACAAACTCAACAACCTTGTCCAGCCCTATGTTCATAAAATTCTAGTTGTCATCGAGCTGCTCTTGTAGATGAAGACTGCTATGCTCACTTTGACACCCACGAGATCATTTCCAAGCCTCGCACACACAATTTCCACCATGCATCCAGACATTGACCACGCCAATGAATGTGCGTGCAGTACCACTGGCCATGTATTTTCCATTGTCACACCTGCATGGGGCATCCCAGTGTTGCTTCCCTTCCTCAAGGCAGTTTGTCATATGACACAAGAAGTCATGGCAGGCCCATCACACAGGCATCTGTATTGTTCAGCAGACTGCCATCCTTCCAAAGGCATCAACCATGTCCTATACAAACTCAACAGCCTTGTCTGGCCCCACATTCATAAAATCCTAGTCGTCATCGAGCCACTCCTTATAGATGAGGACTACTATGCTTGTGTTGGAGGCCATGAGGTCATTTCCAACCTCACAAAAAGTGGCTGGCCTCTCACACACATGGTTTCCACCATCTGTCTGGACATTGACTGTGCTGATGAATATGTGTGCAATACCACAGCCCATGCCTTTTCTGTTGTCACACCTGCACTAGGCATCCCAATGTTGCTTCCCTTCCTCAAGGCCATTTGTCATAGCCAGAAGTTGCAGCAGGCTCATCATGCGGGTGTCCATATCGTTCAGCAGATTGCCATCATGATGGGCTGCACTGCCCTTCCTCACTTGTGCGGCCTTGTCAGCTGTGTTGCTCATGGTCTCATGGATGAACAGCAGAAAGTGCAGACAGTGACTGCGCTTGCTACTGCTGCCCTAGCTGAAGTGGCTGCACCCTATGGAATCAAGTCTTCCAATGAGGTTCTATGGCCACTGTGGCTCAGTATTCACCAGCATCGCAGAAAGGGACTTGCTGCCTTCTTGAAGGCAATTGGTTTCATCATTCCTCTCATGGACCCAGAATATGCTTTGTACTACATGAAGGAGGTCATGGTCATCTTGATCCACAAATTCCAGATGTCAGATGAAGAGATGAAGAAGATTGTCTTGAAGGTCATTAAGCAATGTGCTGCCACCAATGGTGTAACTGCTCAATACATTAAGCAGGACATTCTTCCAGACTTCTTCAAGTTGTTCTGGGTCTGTCGCATGGCGCTGGACAGGCGAAACCATTGTCAAATGGATGCAAAGAGCTGGGGTCTCTGAGATCACAGGGAGGATCATGAATGAGTTGAAAGACAAAGCAGAGCCATACTGTAAAATGGTCATGGAGACTATCACAAAAGTCGTCGCCACTCTCGGTGACTCTGATATTGACAAACGTTTGGAGGTCTGTCTGGTCGATGGCATCACATGCTCCTTCCAGGAGCAGACTATGGAAGGCCAAGTCATGCTGGACAGGTTCAGCACCATTGTTGACACTCTAGGTATCTGTGTCAAACTGTACCTTACACAGATTGTCTCTACTATCCTCTGGCAGCATTGAACAACAAAAGTGCCAAAGTTTGTCAACAGACCGCTGATCTCACCATGCAACCCACTATCATCATCATCAAGCAATGTGATGAGGACCAGCTTTTGAGCAAGCTTGGACTTGTCTTGTTTGAATCAACTTGGAGAGGAGTACCCTGGCATGCTCAGTAGTATCATTGCCACTGAGGGTGCTATCACAAATGCAGTCGGTATGACACAAATGAACCTCCCCTCCCCCCCCCCCCTGGTGAAAGATCTTTGCAAGTATTTATTACCTCTTGATTACTCAACATCTGACCCAACATATAGTTCCTCGAATGACCCCCATTCTTCATAGCCATCACAAGAAGGCCCAAGAGGCATCTATGAACTTGATTGGTCGTATCATGGATTGTGGTGCTGAGTTCATTCCAGCCCAAGAATGGATGGGTATCTGCTTCAAGTCATTGGATCTCTTGAAAGCCCACAAGAAAGCTGTTTGTCATGCTGCTGTGGACTTGTTCAGATACATTGCAAAGAGCTTGGGTCCTCAAGATGTGCTGCTCTTGCTTCCAGTTCTCCTGTGTGCAGTACAGTTGCAATTGCCATCTGGGCATGAGCCCTCAACAAATACAGGATGGCCAAGTCAAACATCCGTGCTGGACATCTCAACACACTGATTGCCCCTTGTAGGTGCATGGAAATGGAAATGGCAATGCCCTGTCAGTGCTGAATGACCCATGCATATATGTATTTAATATCTCCATGTGAGCCCCTTCTGCTTCACCCCAAGCTCGAGGGCCTCTGCCCCATGATCAGCTGAATTATGAATTACAAGATGGAGACACCATAGTGGCAGCACTGGTTGTACATATGTTTGCTATCCATTTCATCCATGTAATGTGTGTAGTGTGCTATGCATCCCCATAGTTGTGTGGGCCTGTGGTGTGGCTGCAACTAGTTACCTGACTTGAACCCTTCAGGCATGGCCTCCACTCCAGCCTTCAGTGCTCAGTGCCCAGCTGCAACACAGCTCCTTCTAAACCCTTGGCTTATCCCAGAAAATATATCTGACCTGATGGGTCAAAATCAAGAGTCAAAGAAGGCTCTGGTGGTGTTGCAGTCACCACAGAAGAAGTCGAGTTGGAAGAGGCAGACCCCTGCAGTCAACACTGGCACTGCTGCAGCTGTGTCTCTGAAGGACATCAACCAGCTGAAAGAGCAGGGGAAGCAGATGCACCTCAAGGCAGAAAGAACAAGAACTGCCTATGCTGCACATGTCTGCCGAGGTCAAGAGTGGCTCAGCAGCTTTGCTGCCTCCAGAATGGAGAGCCAGCCTGAGGATGCCAGCCCAGCCCTGACTCCCATGGTGCCTGACAACCCGTACAGCAACCCAGAGTTCAGAACAACCTTCGAGAGCACACCAAACAGCTGCTCTGACAAGGCATTGGCCTTGTACATGACATGGAAGGGATTCCATGAGAATTTAGGCAAGAGCACTGTGGAGAGCATCAGGGCAGCATTCAAAGACGTTTGGGCAAATGTGTAAGCAGACCTTTGTCCCAGTGTTCAGACAGCTAGTGGGTGTGCAGACCACTGACTGGGCATTGGTGGATACCGTGCCATTGCCATCTGACAGGGATGGAAATACCTTTCGAGGCAAGTGGGGGTTCAATGAGGCAAGGCAGCGCTGGGAGGGGAACCTGGCAGAATCAGCTGATGTTCAAGACATCCTGACTTCGATCAAGCACAAGGCGAGTGTGGAAGCAGGCAATCGCAAGCACTCACTGCCCATCATGTGGGATCACTTGGATTGGATGTTGCAGTGGGCACACACAGTGTGCCCTGACCTTGATTTTGCCTTGAGTGTCCTTCAAATGACTTTCAGCATGCCTGGCAGTGGGCCCACACAACAGCCACTGTCAGAACTTCTTGGTCTCAAGGTGCAGACACTGGTGACACACCACCTCGAGCAACTCGCATTTGCATCCACAGCATGGACATTATGGACAAGGTCAGTGAGGTGGCTCCATTGTGGAGCATATTGTGTGACCCCCATCTGAGAGATACACACAGTCACACAGGTGCTATGAGCTGATCCGACTCAAGCAGAGGCACATCACAATCGACTGCACGATGGTGGACCACACACTGGAAAAGTACCTTGGAAATGAGCCACTGATGCTGTCCGACAGGTCCATCTACTTCGAGGTCTACCTAGCAAACCAAAAGGGGTGGCAGCGCAAGGTTGACAGGGGGATGACCAAGGCTGATCTGCGCAGTGAGTCCACCATTAGCCTGATTGCCTTGTTGGTAATGCACACAATGAGGCTGTGAGCAAGCTGACATCAAACCAAGCATGCATTTCCCTGCAGGCAACCAGTATAAAATCTTCCCCCAGCCTGAGCTCCTGGGAGCTGACTGCTTCCTGTGGCTGCCACTCTGGGTACACTGGCTTGAACATGTCCACTACCAACAACCACTTGACCCTGATGACAACATCTTCCCTGCAATGGGGGCTAATGGTGTTGTACAGCCCCGTGAGCCAATCTCACACGATGCTGTGCAACAGTGGATCAACGAAGCAATGACTGGCACAGGAATTCAAGGCTCCTTCTCGACCCATTGCTTTCAATGGGGTGGAGCACAGTACAGGTTTATGCTGGCCCCTGTTGGTGAGCACTGGTCCCTCAAAAAGGTCCACTGGTGGGGGGGCTGGGCTGAGGGGGAGCATGTAAGTGCTGAGTTCGAGTGTCCCATTGTTCATAGCATTGACCTGGATGCTTCACACCTGGTACTGTACTACTGACCTGCTCTGACATGGCCTCCAGCATAACACCCTCATCCGATACCTCCTAGACGAGCATTACTGTTATGAGACAGACTACAGTGATGTGCTTGCTCTGATTGCACAGGATGTGCGGGATTCTCTGGTAGGCAAATCTGCCCTCATGCAACCTGTCACTGCAGAGGAGGTTCGCACAGCCCACAGTGTCCATCACCTCCAACGTTCATGGCCTGTGGACCAGGATGGGGCAGGTCAGCAAGTCCATTCACTGAGCTTGCCACTGTCATTCACCAAGGTATGGCTGGTGCTCTGTGGCAGCCTTGTGCTGGATCTACAACTCATGGTAGCTATGCTAGTGTACCCCATTCTGTCGCACCACCCTCAGCAGTCACAGCTGCTGCATGGGCATCCCAGCTCGAATCACACCCACACCTGTCCCCCAGCTGGCACAGGCCTCTGCCCTGGTCCTGCCAGTGGGCCCAATGGCCTCGAGTCCCTGCAGATTGCATTGTCACTGCTGGTGCTGGCCTGAGCCAGACAGCAAGCTGCCATGACTACCCTGTCATCCCCCTTGCCAAGCAGCCACCACTCTCTGGGCTCAGGATTCCAAACATACCCATCAAGCTGCTGGATGGCTCACAACATCCCAGAAGGGACTCCTGGTGGGACATCATCGCCCATTGGCTTGTCAGCGATCCCCCACATGGCCTGAGTGTCCCATTGAAGGACTGGCCTGCAGACTGGTACCAGGGCTGCAACTGCACCTTCGCCTCCAAGTACGGCCAGCAGGGCCATGATCGCACTGGAGTTTATTGACATGTGAGTGCCCCTGTCTGGCCCTCTCCTTGAGTAGCCTGCCTGCTCACCCAATGCTTTCCATGCACTCGATGCGAACGTTCGACGTCCACTGCCATATGACAGCTTCAAGTGTGATGAGGCTTGCTTCCTCGCAGCCTACCCCGAGGCAGAAGAAGGGCACACGCACCTCCTCCATGCCATCAACAAGGCACGATGTGAGCACCAGCAGCTGGAGTCACAGGCCTGAAGCACTGCTGGGCCACCTGCAGCATCTACCACTCCCACTCGCCATTCCATTCCATCAATGTTCGACCCCGACCCATCACGTTCGAGCTTCAGAAATGCAGCATAGCCTACCCCCACCTCCTCTAATCACAGTCCACAGCTCGCTCGCAGTTGCGCTCCCAACCTTCGCTGCTTCCAGCTGTTGGCCCCTACTTGCTCTCCCACCGTCGTTTCCTTTGTTCATCTTGTTTCTCGTTCTCGTTCTCGTTCTCGTTCTCGTTCTCGTTCTCATTCTCGTTCTCCATTCATTTCTATCCTTCTTCTTTCCTGTTCTTTGCTTTGCCGCCCTCGCTTTCTCGCCCATCCTTTCACGCCTCTTTTCTCATCTAACTTGTCTCGCAATTGGTGTGCCCGTTAGCACGCTCACACTCGCGCTTCCTGTCACATCCCGTCCCTCGTTTATGCACTTACTAGCTGCTACCGCTACCCTTTACGTTCATGGCCCGTGCGCGCGCCCATTAATTGACACAGTTGCACGTCCCACACCGCCGCTCCGTCCCTTTCCCATTTCGGGCCAAGGAGGCGGGGGGTCAGGGTTAAGGTTAAGGTCGCGTGACCCTGCCTCGTTCGGGAGCCGTCGGCACGCGTCGGGTTAGGGTTAAGGTCACGTGACCCGGCGTGACCCCACCTGCCGCATGGGGCTGGCACCGCCACTGCACCGCTTGTATATTTTCCGGGATAAGTAGGTTTATTCCAGAAAATTGGCAGGTGGTGGTGCGTGGGACCTGCAAATTTTGGATCGGCCTCCCAGCCACAGCGGCTCGCCCTCGGTGGCGGGGATGGCCGTTCGGAGTGTCTGACGCCTCGTGACAGCACCGGCATCGTCGATCGTGGCGTGGGAGGTGCGCTAGGGTGTGCTAGGGAGCGCTCGGGACACGGAAGCAACACGTGGTGGGGGACTTACGTGTCAGGCACGTTATCATCAGGGTCCGCGCACGGAGAGTGGGACGTCCCCGCATGACGCTGATCGCTTAAGAGACTGGACAGCTGGACCTCCCGTCCATCGTGTATGATAACTGTGTGATTCGGATTCGGAGGGGGTGCAGATGCGGGACCTCCATCGTTAAATTTATATCAATAATCGATCACTTCTGCAATCAGCAGCTAGTATTTGGCCTTCGGGCATTCTCATGAGTTCGGTGCAGGGGAAGCTTTGTGTGCTACTGTGCCGTGCTGACAGCTGTCATTACTCATTAATGGACTTGGCGACATGTCTCGATAGTTTTCGGCTAAACTTGTTCTTGGCTAGTATACTGAGCTCAGAGCTGTCTAATACATTGTATAGTACAGTGTATTCGTGTTCGTCAAGTTGGTTCAAATCGGACTGCTGGCTCCACCGTGTTCGTCGTACAATACATATGTCACCTTCGGGTGCTGAAGCTGAAGAGACTTGAAGCGCTGAGTGCTGCATACTGAGTGTCTGTGTATTAGTCGTGCGTGCAACACCCCTTGCCCTGCTACCGTAATACCGTAATGGCTACGCGTCGCAGCGCCTGGCACACAGGACCTTGACAGCGACCTCAAGGGTCTTTCCCAATCGGTGCGTTTGCATTTTCTACCGGCTCATCTGCCAATCTGGCCAGCCCAGTTGCGAATGTGCGTGCCAATTTCCCCTTGTAAAGTGACTTTACACCACTTTATAATTACTTCCAGTACTTTACTGCTCGAACCGGCTTGTCACCTCGAGGCATCAACACCACACTGACATAAGCGGTAAGGGCAGGTTTGGGTTACCGCATCTCCCCACTCTGTGTAGGCTGGCAGGAGCCTTCCCTTCCCTCCAAAGCCCGTTCAAGTCATCCCCTGACATCTCCCACTCTTTGTTGCCGCATCAGTGGCCGTTTGTGGTGAGTACCTGCCAGCAAGCGTTTCAGCGTTTTACATCCAACAGTTCACAGCGCTATTGAGCTCGATTCCCTGGCCAAGCACGCTCACTTGCTGGAGCGCACCCCCAAGATCTGACTTGATCCATCCCTCGGTGAGCTCTTTCATCAGCCGCCAGCGCCTCCACTGACGGTTTCAAAACACAGATTGCCCGTATCGAGTACATCCATTCTCGCACCATGGTCCTGGCACTCTGGCCGGTGGCCAATCTCATATTTGTCAGCTGGGCGTCGGCCTACGCCTACGTCAACTGGCTTTGTCTCGTTCTCCCCCTGTCGACAATCCTCCTAACTAGTCCTCGGAGTCCGCCACACATGAGGGTCTCTGAATTATGGCCTGTGAGTATTTCCTCTCTTCTGCCGTTTTGTTAGCGTGTTATACTGACCATACATAGCTCCTTGCACCTGCAGCACGGCCTTACACGCTCGGCCAGCTGGCTGCTGAAACGTTTGACCCATCCGGCGATGATGGAGGTGTTCGATTGCTTACTGTAGGATTCAATGCTAGGTCAGCACTATCGTCCATGGTCTATTTCGTCCGTCGCAGATGATACATCACCCAGTGCATGGATGCATTCACTAATCAACGTGTTTTCATGGCGTCAAGCTGGTACAGGACAATCGCACGAAATGGATATTATCTTTTGTCGTCTTTCCGCTATCTCTCGCATGTTGCTTCACCCTTACTTCGTCTTTGATGGGCCAGACTGTCCCCAACTCAAGAGGGGAAAAGACGTCGTAGGTTCGACCTTCCCGCGCCTCCTCGTGCAGCGCTTTCAAGAATTACTGATGGCATTCGGCTTCAACTGGCACATGGTAAGTTGCTCGCTATGTATGCTATGTCATATCTCAACAGGTGCTAACATGACTCATCAGGCCCCAGGAGAGGCAGACGCGGAGCTCGCAAATCTTCAATCCTATGGACTAATCGAGGCTGTGGTGACACCGTACAACGACGCACTACTATTTGGTGCGACCTGCATTATATGCAGGTGAGTTGTTCATTCAAATATTGGTGCAACCAACCAACTCTAGAGATAGCGGCACCCCTTACTCTACCAGGTATGAAGACGTTCTAGTTTACTCCTCCAAAGACATAGAAAACGTCGTCGGTCTCGAATTGGGGGACCTCTATCTGATTTTGTTGATGAGCAGTGTGGACGCTGAGGTACGTGCCATCCCTAGCACCAAGGTGCCATCCAGTCTCATTTGATTCGTAGACAGGTAATCAGTGGTGCAGCATGGACGTTGCCCATCGGCTGGCAAAATACGGCTTTGGAAGGAGTCTCTTGCGAGCCGCCGCCGCACTCCAGTTTGCCGAGTTCATGAGCTTCGTTTCCAAGTGGCGTGACAGCGTCTGTGAGGTGCTAAGAACGGATCCTCGACAGTTCCTTGGATGTAGACACTACGAACTTGCCCGCATCATCGTGGAGGAGCGCATTGAGTTCCCTGACCCCGCTGTCCTGGCAATGTATCTTTTACCTCTTACCTCGTGGTCGGACAACGGCCGCCCTCCTATTACCGTTGTGACGTCTCGCCAGCCTGATCTCATGTCCCTGGCGGAATTTTGTTCGCAGTACCTTGACTGGCCACCGGACGTCATTCAGTCCAGATTGGCGGACGCTCGTGCTGGTGCCGCTGTACGTGCACTTCTACAGGTAAGTTCTGCGATTATAAACACATCCACCCCGCATCATCATCCACCATACCCAGCTGCCAGGCAATGTCGACGGCGAGAGACTGCGACGTGATCTTCGAGTCACAGGCTACTTCGACGAGTCGCTGTCCTCACCCACATACAAGCTCTCTGTTCCAATCCAACTCCTTGCAACATCGGGCGAGAAGAGCGATGGTGATCCTTTCTATGACATGGAGATTGCGGTGGTCGTGTTGGAATACTTGAGGCCTGACTTAGCGCTGGGCTCTGTCTGTCCATCTTCCCCATCGCCTTGTGTGGAGTTTGCAGATGAGAATGCAGACGTTAAGGGATACATCGTGTCTCGAAGCTGGAATTGATGATCCCATGAACGAGGGCTAGTCAGGCTTACTACACACTTTTTGTAGCATCGTATCAGCTCGTGAGTGGCACGCTACGTGCACTTTTCAATCCATCCCTTACAACGCACGGGTAGAGACGGCTTCAACTTTGCTCGTGACTATAGTCTGGTTGTTATGGTTAACATGTGATATACGCAAGAGAGCTCGGAGGAAGACAACATCCTATGGATAACTGTTCAATTTTTCAGGCAGCAGAGTGTAAAAGGCAAGCGTAGACTGTGAGACCATTCGGCTTCCTCCATCGATATTAAGCCTCATGATATCTGTCCCGACTTAGCCAGTATCCTGTATTGTCGAAGACTGAAGATGTTCGCGTTCGCGCCACCTGCCATTTGATTAACAGCTTTCGGCTCTCCGCATTGGCCAAAACCAGTGTCCGCATCAGTCTTAGCTCCCAATGGAGCATGTATGCACCCTATCATCGAAGATGTCCGCATTCGCATTTGCTTCGCGTTCACTGTTTGCAACACAGTAAACAACTTTCGACTTTCCGCATCAGCCAAAACTATATCCACGTCATCTTAGCTGGGGTACTCCCCGATGGAACATGGTCCACCCTATCAGTCGAAGACGACTGTCACCCGCGTTTAGTAAGTAAATTCCAGCTCTCCTTGCTAGCCCAAAACCGTGTCCTGCATCATCTTAGCCAGGGTACTCCTTGATGGAGCACCTACATACCTTATCTGTCAATGACGAAGTTTCATTTTGCGTTTGCGTCACCCGCCATTTGATCAGCAATTTTCAGCTCTCTATGCCAACCAAAAATCGCGTTCACATCATCTTAGCCAGGGTATCCCTTGATGGAGCACATACATACCCTATTGTCAAAGACGACGATGTTTGCATTTGCGTCACCCGCCATTTGGTGAATAATTTTCAGCTTTCCACATCAGCCAAAACCATGTTTACATTGTCTTAGCTGGGGCACCTCTTAATGGAGCATGTACATTTTTCCAATATTAGAATTGTTTCAGTCCGCCCCAATGACACCCATGGTATTCACCTATGTCACTTTCCCTCTCACCGATGTCACTATGGTACAGTCCACAGTCACCCTCCTTTGGTCCCACATCTCTGCGGTATTTACCAACTAGTCCACCCTTTTAGCCCCTTGTCTGCTAACTATGATGCAGCAAAGTGGCTGCATCACCGACAAATGTCACCCACCCTCAATTGAATTCACCAACCAGCCTGTGGTATTTATTCATCCATGTCGCCACCTTCCTTCTCATTGACGTCTCGAATGGTATGTCCGCAATTGCCTTCCTCCGTCCCACACCTCCGCAGTATTCACCAACTAGTCTATCCATTGAGCCCCACATCCCCTAACTACAACAGCAGCAGAGTGACTACATCACTGACATACTCCCCAACGTCACCCACAACCAGTCTGCAGTATTCACCTATGTCACCTTCCCTCTCACCGATGTCACTGCGGTACAGTCCGCAACTGCTTTCCTTCAGTCCGATATCTACGCAATACTCACTAACTAGTCCGTCCTTTAGTCCTGCCTCTCCTAGATGTAAGTCACATTTGTCCATCAGCAAACCAGTCACTAACTTCACAAGATCCACCCAGCACAACTTTTCATTCGCTTTGCCAACCATCCCTTTCTCATGCTATCCTCACTGCAGCTTGTAAGTAATTTATCTCGCTTGCATAGTTACATTACTCATGGCTCTGCAACCCCTGCACAAATGTCACTCCTGTCTTCAAAATACTCGCCCACATCACCAGTGTCACCCCCTCCACTCAACCAAATATTCTCCACAGCTCCTGCCTATTGCAAGTGTAGCCTCTGTCCCCCCCTGTGTACAACTCAACATCTCCATGATGGCCACCTTCTAGCCCTACCCATGTGATACAATGTATCATCAAAAATGAAGATATTCGCGGTTTGCATCACCCGCCATTTGGTAAACAAATGTTGGCTCTGGAATGGGTCGTCAACACTGTCGACGGATGAGGTGCCATGGTTGACTTTAAGGGCGAAACCTAATTAAACTTGCATGTATTTTCACTAGTATCACAAATCCTCGTTCATTACACTCGGCGGTATGCATGTACCTCGATCAGATTTATTTATTGTACCCTTCTAGCGAGATTTGTGGCAAGTGGGTCATGGGGTGGCAAAACTGATTTCATGGATGACTACACCAATACTCAAGATAAGTCTGATAAAAAAAAGGGCATTGATGTGCTACATTTTCTATCAGTAATCTAGCTAGCCATGACCTCCCTAGATCGCTTTGCTTTTCACAAGTTCTGTTATTGTCCATCGTCAGAGGTAATCTGTGAGGAACTTGCAATGCGATCGACTTACACTCAAGCTCCACCATGGCATTGGCCAATATCTCCTCCTGCATCTTCTCGTCCCTGAGATCGGATGTAATCCTTGCAATGATAGTTTTTGCAAGCTCAACCTGCTTGCTCTCCTTCAGCTGTTGCTTGTAGCGCACCCAGCTGTCTGGGACAGTCTTGAGCTCGGATGCCAGTGCAACCTTTTGATGCTGGATAAACACTTCTGCCTCCAACCAGGCAGTTTCCTATATACATCATATCACGTTAGATCTAAAATACTAAAAGACCACACCCTGACCTTCGAAACGGGAAAGAGCCCCTGCGTCAGCGACATGACGTCCTTTATCTGTTTGACAGAGCGGATGTGGTCTTTTACAGCCTTGAGTATGCTCGGCACACCACTTTTCCAAAGCAGTCTTGACACGTTTGATAGTGACACGACGTCCCTCATCTGTTTAACAGAGTTGATGCAGTCTTTTACAGCCCGAGTATGTTTGGCACGCGAGTTTTCCAAGGCAGTCTTGACACGCTCGATAGCGACACAACATCCCCTGTTTAACAGAGTTGATGCGGTCTTTTACAGCCTGAGTATGTTTGGCACGTGAGTTTTCCAAGGTGGTCTTGACACGTTCGATGTGGCCATTGACCTAGTCACAGTCAGGCCCACTGATAAGCTAGGCACATGATTATGAGTGTATGTAACAGTGTATTAACAGAACCACATACCTTAGCAATGTAAGCAGGGAGGACAAATGTCCCTGCTGTGACCACAGTTTCCTCATTCACAACATAGACTTCTTGAGAGATGGCTGTAGCAGGAACACCAGTACCGAGGATTGCAGTGCCAGCCTCGATGATGAGGTTTGGCAAGGACGGGAGGGGATTTACGATTTATGAAGCATGCTCAGAAGGAGGGGGATTTGATGTGCTGTAGCAAGTAGGCCAGTACCGAGGATTGCAGTGCCAGTCTTGGTGATGAGGTTTGGCGAGGATGGGAGGGGATTTGATGCGCCATAGCAGGAAGGCCAGTACCAAGGAGATTTTGGGAGGACAAGAAGGAATTTATGGTTTCTGAAGCACACTCAGAAGGAAGGGAATTTGATGTGCTCGTGACACTGCTGGAGGTGAGATCATCAGCTAACATGGCTTGGTTCGACAGTTGGACTGAGGAAACGTACACATTGATCACATGGGTGACAGTGGGCGCTGTGCGTTAATGTGGCTTCAAGGCGAACTGTGAGTACACAAGCCGTTAGCAGATGTAGATGAATCAACCAAATGCCTTGTGTATTCAGTGCAATCCTGGGCGCCAATGCGATACTTTGTGGACAAAACTAGAAATACCTAGCTATAGCTGCACCATATTTACACTAGTCCTCGGAATTCATCGCACTTCATAGTACATGTATTGCAAATAACTACCTTAGACTTGTGACATCACAACTCCCACCTTGCCGTGTCCAATCAGTTTATGACTGGTAACTGAATATCCTGTCGCGATGGTCAGACAGAAGGCATCTGGGACCAAGCATGCCGTGCCGTCCCCAGACAAGCCCAAAAAGAGGGCAAGGGTATCCACCACGAAAGAACTACCTAGCTTGCATACCGCCCACCGAATTAAAGAAGCTGGCAAAGAAACTCACCTTCGGGCAGCCAAGACGAGAGCAGCATACTTGGGACATGTCCACCGAGCGCACTCATGGCTGCAGAGCCATTTTCCAGAGGAGGGGATGCCACTGACTCCAAATCACACCGGAGAGGACTCTGAAATCTACAGTGATCCAAATTTTAAGAACGCGTTTGAGCACGTGCCAAATAGGTGCTCAGATAAAGCATTAGCCCTTTACCTTTCATGGAGAGGGTTCCAAGAAAATAGCAGCCAAAGCACCATCGACGGTGTTCGAGCAGGATTCAAGATGTTGTGGGATGAAGCGTGTGTGGCATGATTGCTCAGTTTTCCTTGATGCTCATAGACTAATACCTTCGGCATAGTGACGGTGCGACGTTCCGCGGGAAGTGGCATCACAATGATGCCCATCACTGATGGGAAGGCAACCCAGTCCTGTTGGCAGAGGTTGACGATGTCGTGGCATCTATCAGACACAAGGTTAGTTCTGAAGGAGCTGAACGGAAGCACTCAGGTGCCATGAAGAAGGAATACATGGATAAGATACTCGCCTGGTCAGAATCATTTTGTCCACTTGACGCCCCACTCCAATACATTTGTCTCGCAACGATAGGCTACAAAGTGCTGCCATTGGGCGAGTCTTTGAATGGGAAAGTGAAGCTAATGGTCACACAGCACCTCGAACACCTTGCCTTTAGCACTGTCACATTTACGCTTTGGACGAGGTAAGTCCTGGCAGGTGGTTTGACCAACAACATTTTTGATCGCAGCTTATGACAGGAACTACGAGCTCCTGAAACTAAAGCACGGGGATGTCAAGCTTGACAAGACTGTCATAGATGGCATGTTTATGAAATACCTTCGAGGCGAGGAACTCTCCCTCACCGTTAGCGAGCACAATGCTTACTTTGAGATCCACCTAAAAAACCGTAAGGGATGGCAGAGAAAGTTAGATAAGGGGATGAGGGAAGCTGACCTACGAAGTTCGTCTTTATATCCATCTGTGCATATCCCATTTTATCTGATCTCCTTTCATTGGTACTTACCAGGCAATCACTACAAGATTTATCCATGCCCAGATATGGGCAAGGCGTGTGACACCCTCCTGTGCCTCGTGTCCTGGATGAAATGGGTCGAACTTGTCCATCTTGGCCGGCCGATGACTGAAGAGGATTTCCTTTTCCCTGTGATTGGCACAAATGGTGTGCTGCAACTGGGTGAGCCGCTTTCCCATGACACGATCCAAAAATGGATTGACGAGGCAGTGGTGGGGTCCAGAATTCCCGGAACATTCACAATGCATTGCTACTGTTGTGGTGGAGCACAATACTGCTTCATGTTCGTGCCAGTGGGGCAGTGATGGACCCTTGCGTGGGTCCGGTGGTGGGGGGGATGGGCTGAAGGTGAGCATGTGAGTACTTCGTCCTCCTTCCTATCTGGGTGTGTAGTAAAGTCAACCAACTCCTTACCTTTCGCTCCACACGACTACGCAGTGTGACACACTGATGCGCTACCTCCTCAACGAGTTGAATTGCTATGAAAACGACCACAGTGACACGCTGCAACCGGTCCTGCACGAAGGTGATTGTTCACTCGCAGGCAAAGCTGCGCTCGTCTGGCCAGTGTCCACCAAGGCACTCAACATGGTGCATGCATCGATAACAGCCAACATGGCAGCACTACACATGACTGTGAAGGAAGTGAAGGAAACCTTGTGCTCACTTTCAGTAGATGTAAGGGAGATCCACCAACAGCTCAGCGACATGAGCAACTGGTCGTAAAGGCCCTAACCTCGGCCTCTGCATATTCAGCCCCTTCTGGACCTGTGCTGCGCCAGGGCACTACTGGCAGTAATGCTCGAGCGATGCCAATAACAGGTGAGCCTCGTTGATTCTGTGACTTCTACCACACCAACTGACCAGCCACATGAATCAGCCTACCAACATTCACCTGCGCAGACCACAATGTCATCGCCCCCAGTGATCCAGTCTGCTTCCATGCCAACAGTGGGTGAGTCTTGTTCATTCTATGACTTCCATTGCACCAACTGACCAGCCACATGGGTCAGCCCACCGGCGTTCACTTGTGCAGACCACAGCTTTGTTGCCCCCAGCGATCCAGTCTGCTTCCATGCCAGCAGCCCAGCCATACCTACCTACACTCAATTTACAACCGACTCAAACGCAGTTCAGGATGCCGTGAGTTGTCCAACCATCAGATCTTTTGCTCTCGACGTCCCTCCCTTCGCAGATCAGACCCCAGAGGACCAAGGCCCGTGCCTCTACCTCCCTTCTGGGAGTTGTCATCCCGGACATGCCCATTTTGCATCCCGATGGGACACGGACCACAAAGTCGGATTCTTGGAGGGACATAGTACGCCACTGGACAGAGGGGGAGCCACGGCTTGACCTGCACATTCCACTCAAGGACTGGCCTTATCACTACTACAATGGGAAGAGCGGCCGTCAATTCAATACAAAGTACTCTCAGCAACGCATCATTGCGACGGAATGCCTTGACGAGTAAGTCAGCTTGTCACACTTCTACCACTCACCCAAGTCCCTCTGACACGGTCCCCAGATTCCAGGGAGACGAGGAAACCTTCCTCAAGGTCTATGGAAGTGCCATCGGTCAAGGACACACGAAACTCCCCAAAGCAATCTTGGCTGCCCACAAACGGTATTGTGGAGCTGGGGAGCACCGTCATCGCCTCACAAGTGAAGAAGTCTGCAACGATTCTTCTTCGGGCATCAGCGAGCAGCACTGATGCATATCACACCAAGGTTGTCATTCCACCATTGCCATCCTGTTCTTTTTTTCTTCTTTTGTTTTCTTTCTCTTAATACATCTATCACTCACTTGTCAATACTATCACCCCAGCATCACCCGAGCTCGTGATGTACTACGTCACTAGTCACATACTCGTACATGTGCAGTAGCCTATGACAAGTCATACGTATGCAACACACAACACAAACATCATTAATCGCAAGCATCATTCGTCCACCCATCATATCCTGAGCGTGCGCGTGCGCACACAATACCATTATGTGTTTGTTCTACCTAACTCACACGTCCGTTCGAGAGTAGTCCTACACCGCCATACATAACTGCTTTCAATCCCACGGAAGCTTCAGGAGTCCTCGATCGTGAGATGTGATCACTGTGACACTGACATAAGCTGAACCTAAATGAGGGGCAGGGCACCCAAACAACGGCATGCAACAGCATGCCGAGCCTACTGGCAGTGGCGCCGAGGTGGCTGAGGCCCATGATGTCACGGATTCCCAGCCTCTGTGGTCACATGCATGCACCCGCCACAAATTGGCAGGTGTGCTTCACCGCCACTGCCAATTTCTCGAACTAAGTGTCCGCTTTTGGATTACATAATGCTGTGCTCAGTGAACCACAACTAAGGTAAAAGTGATAAACTCCAACACACCCCTTCAACGAGTATAGTCAAGAAGGAATTAAAAGAAAATAATACCCATAGCTTCAGAGAAACAAACATGCTTCTCCCTAGACACACCCTTCATCAGCACATCAGCCACCTGGTCATTGGTAGACACATAGTTGACAACTACTTCTCCAGAATCCACCTTCTCTCATATGAAGTGATGACAGATTGCAATATGTTTTGTGCAGTTGTGGAACATCACATTTTGAGCCAGTGAGATAGCAGATTGATTGTTGATGAGGAGGGGAGTGGGTTCGTGTGACAACACAGTCTTGAGTTTGAGGACTAGGGTACAAATCCAGATAGCTTCCTTCATGGCAGTGCATGCGGCCATGTACTCAGCTTCTGTACTCGAGAGAGCAACAGATGATTGCTTTTTTGATGACCAGCTAACAGCTCCACCAGAAAGGATGAAAGTATAGCCAGTAACAGAGCAGTGGTCATTGATATCCACTGCCCAATCTGCATCTACATACCCAATCGTGCATGCATTTGAGTCTTGCTTATAGGTAAGATGGACATCAGGGGTGTGTCACAGATAGCAAAAAACATGCTTTAGTGCAAAAGAGTGTTCATGCCCAGGGCATGCAGCATGATGGCTCAACATGCCTACAGTAAAGGCAAGGTTGGGCCTTGTTGCTAGCATTGCATACATAAGGGCTCTGAGAGTGCCCTGGTATGACTTGGTGTCAGCCTCTGGAATTTCTAGTTTTTTGAGCTTTAGGTTAGGCTCGATGGGGGTCGCAATGGCTCACCCCTTGCTCATTCCAAAGCACTCAAGAATACTCTCGACATATCTCTTCTGTGAGAGCTGTATGATACCTTTATCACAGTTGCAAAGTATCTCCATTCCTAAAATCCAATGTGCCTCCCCTAGATCTTTCATCTCGTACTCCTGCAAGAGCTGAGCCTTGATGCGCTCAATGGTTGTGCAGCACTTTGAGAGTATTAGCTTGTCATCTATGTAGACAGCAACAACAATGAGTATGCTGTTCTCGACTTTAAAGCAGAGGCTATGGTCAGCCTGGCTTCAAGTGAAACCCAGGGATTTGAAAACAGTCCAAAGACAAGAGTACCATGACTTGGGGGCCTGTTTAAGGCCATAGAGTGCTCATAGCAGCTGCCAGACTTTGTTGCTGTCAGGAGGAAAGCCTGGAGGGGGGTGAAGGTATATTTCTTCATCTAATAGTCCATTTAGGAATGCAGATTTAACATCCATCTGATGAATTTCAAGATTATACTTAGTGGCAAGCGCCAGGAGTATGTGGATGGTTGCAAACTTAGTGACAGGTGCAAGCATCTCCATGTAGTTGATCCCATGTACCTGTGTAAAGCCTTTGGCTACCAAACAAGCCTTGTACCTCTCAATTTCACCAGTTGGCCCTTGCTTGATCTTGTAGACCCATTTTGAGTCAATCAGTTTATGGCCAGGAGGCAGGGAAACTTCCTCATACAGTCTGATGGACTTAAAGGTCTGTAATTTGTCGATCATCACAGTGTACCACTGATCTGCATCGGTGCTTCGCATTGCATCATTGAACAAGCAAGGTTCATTGTCATGTGTTGTGGATGCTTTGTAAGCCACTTCCTCATTCATCTCAGCCACCTCAGCCTCGCTGTTGCCACACGCACACTCTCGCTCTCAAGCAACTTCATTGATGGGGCTTCCACCCTCACTCTCTGCACCTGAACCATCCAGCACCTCAAGCTGTTGACTAGGTAAGGTTGTCCTGTCATAGGAATTGATGAAAAAGTGATAATCATCATCTCTAGGTGGTGCTTTTCATGTTCTGGTGGATCTGCAGGTCTCTCAAGGTGGAATTGGAGTTGGATAGGGCTGCAGGGGTGTCGCTTTATGCATGGTAGGTTTTGGCATCGTCCTGGCTCGCTTTACTGATGGTTTTGAGGCCGTTTCAAGCGCTTTTTTAGGACTCCAGCCACTGCCTGGCATGTTACCCTCTGAGTGCTGTGGGGAATGATCTACCATTGATCCTGAGTGATCAGGTGCATCATTTGACTCAATTTCAACCTCATGGACAACATCTTCACTCTCTCCCTCACTAGACTCGAGATCCCCATCATCAGACTCCATGTGAGCATGGCCTTCCATGCCCAAAGCCCTGATGGTATCCAGGTGCAATGTATTGCCCTTTTGGGCATTCCCTCTTATGTCCACTGGTTTACTAACCATACCTGCAGGATCTTCTTCTATCTGGACATGATCTAGGCCTGCTGCTGTGCTTCCCTTATCAAATACTACATCCCAGGATTCGAAGACATGACCAGTGGGCTGGTGTAAGCATAGGTATGCTTTCTTGTTCTCTGCAAAGCCCAGATGAATGCATTTTAAGGACTTGCATCTAGCTTCTTTCTTTTTTCCTCAGGTATATGTACATGTGCAGCACAGCCAAAGGTCTGGATATGGGCCAGTGATGGCTTAATCCCTGTAAAGGCTTCATATGGTGTGACATCCTCAGAGATAGCATGGGTTGGTGATTGGTTGATGAGGTAGGCTGCATACTGGATAGTGTCCCCCCAATATTTATTTGGCAGTCCAGCGTCTTTTAGCATCGCCTGTGCACTTTCAACAAGGGTGTGGTTCATCCACTTGGCAACACCATTCTCCTGTGGGGTATAGGCATTTGTCTTCTCGTGGTGGACCCCTTTCAACTTGAGGTAGGCCTTGAACTCATCTGAGCCATACTCCCCACCTCCATCACTCCAAAAATAATTTGCTTTTTTGCCAGTCTTGACTTCAGCTTGAGCGAGGTAGTCTTTCACTGAGGGGAAGACTTTGTCCTTGGATTTTATTAGTTTAACCACAAGGTGGTGCAAGCGAGCATCAATGAAGGTTATGAAGTAGCAGTGTCCAGTTCAGGCTGTAGTCTCCATGGGGCCACATACATCAGAGTATGTCTGGTAGAGTACTGTTGGGCTTTCAACATTTGACCTGATGGGTATCACCTTATGGTGTTGCTTCCCTTCAAGGCAAGGTTGGCATACTGAGTTTGAGTGCTCAGTGCCAGTAAGCTCCATGTCTTCAACCATTCCCACTTTAACCAGTTTAAGCACAGATTTTGTATTTGCATGCCCAAGTCATTGATGCCACAAGTCAAGTGTGGCTACAGACTTTGGTGCTGCAGCTGCAAGTGCTAGGAAAGTAAGGGTAGAGTCAAGTAATGGAGATGGTCCTTGTATGACAAGTGCTCCATGACTTGGAGAGTGAGTCCTTGCTGCAAGGATGTAGAGTGAGCCTTGATGATGACCCACACCTACAGTGTCTGTACCATCAGTGATTGAGCATGTTCCACCCATGAAGGTGACTTGGACATTTCTAGTGGCAAGGTATGCCACCGAGAGGAGGTTTGTGCTGAGGTCTGGAACAAAATAGACCTTCTGTAGTAGGATTCTACTGGTCTTCCCATTTGGAAGATCCATACAAAGTTTGATCCGTTGTCACACACCAAAGGTGTTTGGTGAGGTGGACATGGATGTAGCTGATGAATGGAGGTGAAGACCATAGCCCTCATGTGAAGAAGGACAGCCAGCAATGTTGGCAGTCATCCCTTGCACAAGAACAGGTTGTCAATGCCAAAGAAAAAGGAGGAGGCAGGTTAAGCGCTGTGAGTCAAAGTGTGGTTCAGTGGTGAAAACCAACCAAAACCAACACAAAAGACAACAAAAGCGAGTGGTGGTGTGCCTATGCGGTACCTAGATGGTAGAACCTGTTTTTTTTGGGAGGGTTTCTGCGAGCTACAACACTCAAAGATGAGTGCTGAGGGTTGGGGGTGCTCCTGACAAAGAGGGAGCAAGACTGTGATAGAAAGCGATAGAGTAGACTGCTGTCAGCCTACAGAAGGATGGATGGTGACTTAATTCGATGTCCTAAGCTGTACTGAGCTCAGGGAGGGCTTGGAGTGAAGTATATGGATGATAGATGATAATAAGCGAAGTAGATGATAGCTAGACCCTTAATAAAGTCTCAACTATTGAAGCTGATGAATGATTTACTGAGAGATGATAAATTGCGAGCAAGAGGGGCTCTCTGATGTCTTTTTTTTTGCTACCTAAGTACAGTGACTTATATACAGTACAGGGGCATTGCCTATGGAAAACAAGGTGCAAACACTTGGTAAGTGATTGGTAACTGATGAGTAAGGAATGTAAGCGATGGGTAATCGTCTTGGAAAGCATTGGTAAGCATTGGTAAGGATAAGTAAGCCAAAAAGCGAAGAATCAGTAAGCAAAGTCAAAAGATTGGTAAGTATTTGCAATAGGTGAGTCAAAGACAGTCAGAATGTCACAGTATGAGTCAAGTAATGTCAGGAACTGGGAAAGTGCACTGGAATCGCATTATGGGGAGGCTGTGCATGTCACATCTTGAAGAGATCGCTTCTAGGCCAAAGTGGGATGACAGAGAGGCAGCGCTGATCTGATGCCGATATAGTACATCCAAAAGTGGACAGGGTGAGTCAGATGTCAACAGGGGTCAAGCTTTGGGGGTCTGTGGGGTGACAGGAGCATAGGGGATCGCAACTTTCCCCCCCAAACCATCCTCTCAGTGAAGCAAATAAAAACTTCATGAACGAGGCTCTGTTGGAAGAGAGGATGAAGGGGGAGTGTCTTCTGCTGTATCTTGCAACAAGGAGGCAAGATGTGCATCATACTCGTTGTGGATGCGATCAGGGAGAGTGGAGAACAGTAGATTATACTGTAGCTGTCGCAATTTTGGAAGAATGACAGACGAGACTGGTATGAAGACGTTGCAGGGGGCAGGGAGGAAGGATCCATATGCTTCTTGGACTGGAGAGACTGAAACGACCACATAAGACCTTTCCAAGCGAATGACAGACCTGAGGCAACCAAAGAACGTCCTCCTGGAGGTCATACTGACAAAAAGAACACGCTGTCCAAGCTGGATGGGCTGAGAGGGGGCAGATGAGGGTGGGATGTACCAGGACGCTTCAGGACAGAAGCTGGTAGGAACTCCTGGTAGATATATGTAGCCATGGTCCCTAGCAAAGGGGACAAGCAAAACGACTGATGTGGAGGCAGCCATATCAGAAGAATTAGCAAAATGAGTGTCTTTTGGAGGGAGTGCTGTAGAAACGTGTGGAGTGTGCAAATCCTTTCCAATCTTGGAAGGTAGGATCGTGTGGCTGAGCACTACAAGCGAGTGTGGGAATGGTTTCGGTGTCTGCAGAATTGGTGGAGATACATCGAAAACCAGAATGCCATACATGGGTGCTTAAGAATTTTATTGGTGCTTAACTCGCCTCCTCCTTTTTCTTTGGCACTGACAACCTGTTCTTGTGTGAGGGATGACTGCCAACATTGCTGGCTGTCCTTCTTCGCATGAGGGCTATGGTCTTCACCTCCATTCATCAGCTACATCCATGTCCACCTCACCAAACACCTTTGGTGTGTGACAGCACCAATAAAATTCTTAAGCGCCTGTGTACGGCATTCTGGTTTTTGACATATCTCCACCAATTCTGCAGACACCGAAACCATTCCCACACTCACTTGTAGTGCTCAGCCATGCGATCCTGCCTTCCAAGATTGGAAAGGATTTGCGCACTCCACATGTTTCTACAGCACTCCCTCCAAAAGACACTCATTTTGCTAATTCTTCTGATATGGCTGCCTCCACATCAGTCATTTCACTTGTCCCCTTTGCTATGGACCATGGCTACATATATCTACCAGGAGTTCCTACCAGCTTCCATCCTGAAGCGTCCTGGTACATCCCACCCTCGTCTGCCCCCTCTCAGCCCATCCAGCTTGGACAGCAGTGTTCTTTTTGTCAGTATGACCTCCAGGAGGACATTCTTTGGTTGCCTCAGGTCTGTCATTCGCTTGGAAAGGTCTTATGTGGTCGTTTCAGTCTCTCCAGTCCAAGAAGCATATGGATCCTTCCTCCCTGCCCCCTGCAATGTCTTCATACCAGTCTCATCCGTCATTCTTCCAAAATTGTGACAGCTACAGTATAATCTACTGTTCTCCACTCTCCCTGATCGCATCCATGACAAGTATGATGCACATCTTGCCTCCTTGTTGCAAGATACAGCAGAAGACCCTAACCTAACCTAACCCTAGTCAAATATGTTGCTTCTACTCCAAAACTCATGCTTTACTATTCTAGGACCAAATCTTGCATCTTCGGATTCACTGACTCTGATTGGGCTGCCAATGTGGATACTCATCATTCTACTACTGGATATGCCATGTTTCGTGCCACCTCCCTTATTTCTTGGCAATCATGCAAACAAAAGACAGTTGTGCTTTCATCAACTGAAGCCAAGTATATGGCTTTATGCGATTCTGCCTGACAAGTTGAATGGTTGCATATGCTTTTTAATGAACTTGACCTTGAACTAGAGAAAACTATTCTCTACTGTGACAATATGGGTGCTCACTTTATAGCCAAGAATCCTGTCTCAGGTGGTCGTTCAAAGCATATAGATGTCCAGTGGCACTTCATTCGCAAATGTGTTCAGGATAGTCTCTTTGCCATTGAGTATATCCAGACTGGACTGACAAAAAGCCGATGGATTAACCAAGTCTCTCACATGGCAGAAATTTGAAACGAATTGCTCGTCACTCGGTCTCATTACCTTACCATTCTAGAGTGAGGGGGAGTGTTGAAAATACCAGTTAATGGTGTTTCCCATTACCAGTTCTAGACTTGCTTATACAATGAGTCTTACTCATGTGATGTCATGCTTGCTAAGTTACTCCACAATGATGTCACTTAGCTCCACTTGTTCCATCATGTTCCATGATATTCATTACTATACATAGTAGGTAGTATCTTTACTTACTATATGCATCACCTGGTCTGTGTGCATTCCTACATGTATATAAACCAAGGGGGGTTTCTGTCATATCCCCTCAGTTCAGTCAATCGACTTTATTTCATTGTCTACAAGCCTCAACAGCTCTACTCAATAACCATTTACTCTTACACTCTATCCAATACTAAAGGCAAGTGCTCATCTTTTGCTCTAGCCCTTTTCCCCTCATCCCTCGTTCCTCTGCCAATAGTTTTGAAACTGAGTCATCAGACTACCTGCCATCACAATGTAAGCTACATTTTTCACTGATACTGGCTTGTCTGTATACTTTTGGCTTATGGTTTTGTGGCTAGAAATTCACACACAGAGCAACTATTCTTGAACACATTGTGAAATTGAAGACTGATGAGGGTGATGCCAACGCTGCAGCTTGGATGTGGCTGCAAGACCTTGTCTTATACCTTGGTGAACATGGTGCAAGTTCAGAAGAGAGTGATGTCAAGAATGAGGTGGAGGGGGTACTTCGCATCAAGAATATGAAATGGCAATGTCACATCAAGTAGGAGCTTGACATTGTGGACCTTCAGTGGTTCCTTGATGTTGACACTTTTTCACCACAGGGGTCTCAGCTGATGAGAAGAATTCGTGCACCTGGAAATTGTGAGAGTGGCAGGATGCCAGTTAAAGGTCTACTGATTGCTTTATATGATGATGCTTGGATTAAGGGGCTCAGCCAGTGACAGTTGGAAGCACTGGAGGTCTCTCTGGTAAACTTCCCATGGATGAAGGTGGCAGTAGTCTAATAGTCAATGCCTACATAGTACTATAAACAGATTGCTGGTGGGTGACAGGTGGGCGATGAACGGGCGACCAGCAGGCAATTCATATAAACCGTACATCGTACTTTACAATTCAATCAATATTTCGTCCTCGTCCCAAACTTCAAAATTAGGCAGAGTATTTATTGTTCGTGCATATTTGGAATCTTGGTCAACACACAAACATAGTTCATTCTTGATGTTTTGTTGAAGTCACAATGTGAAGACGAAATCGGAAGTTTGCACACACATTCAAACCACTACCAAACTTGAAGCTAAAATTGACATTCTGATGCCGTCGATACATGTGCATAAACTTGAAGTATTGGTAAACATCAAGGCATTCACAAAAACTTCAAGTTTCGCCTTCGAAAAATTGTTGAATTAACTTTCAAGTGCAGTCTTTACATTTTCTACTACATCAAGACCTGTCCTTAACTCTCCAAAATCCGTTGTGTCAGTCAAGCGAGAGTTCCTTGCCTTATTTGATGAGCAGAACTCGATGCATTTCTTCCGCTGTTTCGACACTTACCCAATAAGCAACTCTGTGTATGCTCTGCAGTGATGTTGTATGGAATGTGAGTGATTCGGATCTATCCTCTGATGAGGTACTTCACGGACACATCCATACGAGTATCACATCAGATCATCATCGTGGGAGACTTTCCAGTATGATCCCGCTCTACTACCAACACTATGGTCGCACACTGCAGGTGCCAGTAAGTGCTCATTTGTAATCGCCACCGGCAACGTTCACTCCCGGGCCATGATCATGAGCCAACAAGTTGCGGATGGTTGAATTAGGACCTTCACTGTACATCGGAGTATAATACGCCACTATCACATCCGAGAGGTTTGTATGCAAGGTGGATACGGCTTTACATGGCATTGTGAGGCTGTACGAAACCACTGTAAGGCAAATGGAAAAGTGAGCAATATCAGGCCATCCCACAGGTTACGATGAAGCCGACCACATCAGAGAAACGAGGAATGACAGAGTTGCGGTCACGACCAGTCAGTGACAGGTTTAAACAGGTTTAAACCATTTTTTCGCTTCCTGATGCATGCGATCAGCTGGTGCAAAGATGTAAATTAGTAGGCGCCTGACGAACTTGCCAAGCACGAAGATCAAGTCCTTGTGCGCCAGGTTTTTTTAGAAACTGTCACCAATACTCGGATATCTATGTGTTGGCGAGATACTCCTAGGCCACGTAAGCCGGTCGGCTTTGTTTCTGGAAGGGTGCCTTCCGTTTGTAAATCCTTACCATTCCCATTGTCATCAACACTGGCGGGTGGTCATTCGAATCTGGCGCAACCTCTCCACTGTCTGGGAAACACAGCGGCTACAGCATGACCTCTGTTACAGGATCAGCATTCCTGGATCCAAGGATCCTGTCAAAGAACCACTGGCCAACCCCGTTATCATGGAACGTGATGTCCTTGATTCGTCAAAGTCCGATATACTGCAGACGTTGGCCAGCCTGCCAACGATTCTTGGGCGCGCCGCTGATATCCCAGTCCAGTTCAGGGGCAGATCGCTCGTGCGTACTGTTCTAACAATACTTGATATCTATAGGCCCCGTGATGTGAGGATCCAGATCCGCGTTTGAGCCCCTCATCCCTCAGAGGATAAAAGGGCCACTTGTTGTTGGCCATCCTTCAGAGTCAGTCATCTCCCAGATACAACACTACCATGAGTAGCAAGCTTCCCACCTACCTTCCCAGTGGCGACTATGTCATCTATTCTTTGGTCGATGGGCCCCTTGGGATCGCCTTTATCACCGGTGCCATTGACCGCGTCCCAGTTATCGTTCCGTCCCCAGGCTTTTATCCCCAAAAAGTACGCGTTTCTCGTACATCGTACTTATTTATGGGAATTTCACCTTGACTCCCTACAGTTCCATGTCCAACTGGTGAACGAATCCGAACACATCTACGTGATTAAGGTGGACGGTAAAAATACTCGGGATGAAGAAAATCTCGTCTACGCCTAGCCATAGAGAAGCTCAGAAGTGGGTAATTACCTACAGGGAACAGCAGAATGCGTACACGTGAGCAAGCATGATTAAGTATCCGAGCTTAAAGACTTGACCGCACACTCAGAATCGTGAAATTAAACACCAACGAAGCGTGGACGGACCCAGGCCAGGACCGCCGTGAGGGCCGCCGAGACCCAGACGATCCTCGTCAGGTAATACCAACATGTTGCTGTCTTGGGGAATGTTATCCTTATGCGCTTCGTTTCAGATCCGCCTTGAGCTTCTGGACTGGCGCGAACCAGGGCAAATACTCTGATATCTGTGCTAGCCAGCTTGTTCAGATTCGAGGTTCCGCGGGAGCACAAGCTTCCCAGCAGGCGACTACAGGATCCACTCCTTGGTTTCCAACCAACCTCTCGGTATTCAGTCTGTTGTGGGCCGCAGACCTGATGACTCCGTCATTGAGCCTGTCCGCCCGCCTGTACACTCGAGAGCGGACCCAGTTATAGTCCCTGTCACTGGCTTCGCCCCTCAGACGGTAGGCACATTTAATCTGGCATCACGACTAATTACGAGTGTAGCTTCATTCATTTAACAGTTCACCGTTCAGCAAGTAAACGGAGCAGAGGACACCTACGTGATTCGAATTGAAGGCAAGTACACTCGGGATGAGAGAAACCTCGTGTACGCCTTCCAAGACCCACCGGCTCAGGAGTGGGTCATTACCTACAGGGAAAATCAGGGTGCCTACACGTAAGTCGTCCTCATTCGACACTCAAAGTATCTGGGACGTGTCGTTAATTTCGACTACAGCATCGTGAAAATGCGTACTGGAGGTGCATGGACGGACCCCCGGCAGTTCCCTGATAATTTCCTAGGGCAAGTGACACTCCCTGAGGGCGAACAAATCGAAATTTCAGATGACGAGCCCGACGTTCCAGAAGGTGAGGAGGCTGAGCACCCCGGTTCTGAGAGCGATCTCCTGCGACACAGACGTCCCCCTCGTCGGTTCAGGCGTCAGGTAGACGACTTCCTTCTCTCCATCGATTTCATGCCGTCCTCATGTGTTTCACCCTTAGATCGTCTTAGAACGTCTCGTTCGCACCGAGCGGGGCCCACCCCCTGTATTCCCCAGGAACCAGTTATTCCGGTTTTTGCCTGCCAATGTGTTGAGGCCTGAGCGAATGGAGGGAATGTAACGCTTCAAGTTTTCAAGTGTGTGTCGTGTAAGATTAGTCAACTTTGTCGTAGCTTCTGTTGTATCCCAGTCCCAGTGTTTGAACAATCCGTAAACCATGTCTAGGTCCAGAAAGTACGCGTGATACTCCAATGATGATCTGTGTAAGAATTTTTGGTAACATGTATTGACCTCTGAGGGGCAGCTGACATATTGACACATTTGTGCCTGAGATGTCCAAAATCTCCGTGTTTACGCTAGGCAGGCGGATCGCCTGACACCCTATAGAAGAGTCTACCACACCATCCGGGTTGTGGCCGTCCGTACGTGCGGATTTAAGGAAATACCGCACGAGTACGAGACGTTTAGTACCGACCAACGATGACCCGAATCAAAGCCAGCCGATTAAAAGCCACTAGTCTGGTCCACCGGTCGAGAGATGACCTCTTCCAGACGATTTCTCACTAGCCCCACGTCCTCTGGAGATATGTTCAACGAAAGGTGATCCCGTCTTTCCTTCCCAAAGCGCACAGGAACCACAGATAGCACGTGTCCCCTTTCGCACAACAAGACGAGGGCAAAGAGATCTAGTTGATGCGTGTCTCTCCTGGATATCGGATGTGTCACGCTCTGGCGCACGTCCCTTCGAACCTACAGGAGACTTTCGAACTTGATCCGGGTTTTGCAAGGGTCGGCGTGGAACGACACCGGCACCAGGTATAAAGTTGCAGAGTACTTATGACTTCGCTAGGATAACTGTCAGGGATGCATAATGCGGGCGGAAGTCCTTCTCCATCCAGTAGTATGACACGGGCTGGGTTATGGAGTACCTAGTGAGCGAGATCGCGGACTGAGAGGGAAGAGAAGCAAGCCAGTGAGTGCCAGCGATTGGCGCCCAGTCATTCAGCAAATCATGGCTTTTATGGGTCTCGACTCTCATCATGAGTCACAGGACATTTGCCATGGTTCGATGAAACATAAGCGCCTCATCAATTCTTTAGATTTCGTTTGGAGTGCATGACAATTCAGTCCTTGCAGGATTTCTCTATCAGCAGAGTGCAGAAGGGTTGGCTAGCTGGGGCCAGCGCTCCGCGGGAGCGGATACTTACATTCTTGGTGAGACATTCCTAGGCTGCGTAAGCGGGTCGGCCTGGTTTGTAGGCGGATGTTCATTTGACATCCCTGGCATTGTCATATTGTCAGCCAACGGCTGGATCGTCTATCGACCTCGGCGCCAACTTCTGCCCCATTTGGAAAACGATGGGTCTTGTTGAAGGACTACATGCCAATCCTCGTCGTGAAATTCGATGACCATTTGCTGGTAAGCTTATGACGACGAAGTAGGTTATGCGAGCCGTAGCGGTGTATAGTGTCACGTTCGAAGGCAGCAAACAACTCTATTTCATGCTACCAATACGTGTCCACCGTACATCGAAACCAAACCAATTGCCATCCCTCGTTCCGTTCGGAGCTGAGGCGTAGAAGAAATCAGAGTAAAAATTCTGCCTGACCTCCCGCTCGGCACCTAGGAACAAGAGTTAGCAAGTTTTTTTTGCGCTTCCGGATAAAAAGAAACGATCAGAAACAAATGGTATGCCTCGACATTATAGTTAAGACAGGGATAACTGAAAGATTATAGTATCTCATCTCGCAACACTGCAACTTATTGCATGCCTTAAAAATGTACCAAGGACTCACCGTCGTATTCATTACCCACGGAACTTCTCGAGAGGTGAGAAATGTTGCTGCCACAGTGGAACACATTTGAGTTCAAGTGTAGTTGAAGTCGCGCGTGAGGGACTTTGAATTCTGCTTTAGGGCCGGTAACATTGCGATGGTTCCGACCCCAAGTACTACTTATACACTCCTTCAGTGAACTTTCGGAGCGAAATGCCGGCGGTTCAGTGGTCTAATGGTTATGATTTCTGTCTCACACACAGAAGGTTCCCAGTTCGATCCTGGGCTGAACCACTTTTTTCGAACTTCGGAAGGCGCTCTGTAATAGATACAAATTGTAAACCATCTACTGGCGGCGCTGACAATTTTATTAGAAGAGTGCCGTGCGTCAGAGCTACGTACCCGGGAACCGACACATTCAGTACCGCTGCGACGCTCGGAAATCAATCTAATGGTACACGACGCCTTTCATGAGCCACCGCCCAGTCCGTACAGCCCCAACACTCTCGAGAATACCTCCTTGTCCGAACGCTGTGTGCACCTCAACAATGCCGCTCGGATGCTTCATCTTGGTAATAGTTACCCCAGCCGAGGACTCGCTGGATGACGACGTGCGCACATTTTTCCAGGGGACAGAACCTTCGATGTTAGCTGCGACGCCGAGGCATAAACCGAGGGTCATTGGCACTGCCTTGTGTAATACCCCCATGGAAAAAGCATGAACGGATATATCGTAATCAGTCGAAGATGGGGGAGAAACGATAGCGATCTTCGGTTGAGCCTGAGAAGTTGGTTCAAGGCCCATCTTGATGGCTGCCTCAGTCCGAATTGATTCAATAATTTCTTTTATCTCGTGGTTTCCGTAGTCAAGGCTTGGTTGTGGAGGAGTATCGAGGACGCGGCTGATATCGTCATGGGATATGAATACAGAGGGATTCGTAGCATCTACAAGTGAAGCAGGAATCTGAGCACCACGGCGGGAACGGATATGAAGTAGGTCAATAGGGTTTCCAGTTGGCAACAGCTTCCCAGTGCGAGCGCCAGCAGGAGACGGGAATTCAAGAAGGATCCGAGAAGCTTGACCAGGAACACCAGCTATGGAGGCCTGTGGAAGGTCGAGTTTCGGGAAGGTTTGTCCATTCAGGACCGTGACGGGGAATGTCGTATGTATGCAAGAAGTTGTATTCGTGTTGAACAAGCGTATGGTCGTTCGGCCTGACGACTCCTGCTTGGTACATATGCCTTCTTCTAGTGCAAAGGCCCCAACCATGCTGGAGAGATTCCCGCAGTTACCAGCGTAATCCACAGTGGTGTCGCGGATACCAAGTTGGGCGAACGTGTATTCAGCGTCGATGCCCTGTGCCTTTTGTTCCTCGGAAGCAGAGCCAACAACACAGATCTTGGACAGGCTCGAAATCCCACCACCCATGCCATTGATCTGTAGGCCGTTGGCTGTGTCGGGAGATCCCATGATCCGGAGGAAGATGGATCTCCACTCCGACCGATCAGCCGGGAGGTGATCACGGTTGAAAAAGATCCCTTTAGATGCACCACCCCGTAGGAATGTAGCAGGAGTGTAGTTCGGGATGTTCAAAGAAGAGCGCCGTACGAATGTGTGGCCAACCTTGAGAGGGAGCGGTTGGGCAACTGTCAGCATAGTCAGCCCACTGAATTGGTATCACGCTGGTCCCCGTGCGCATTAGCTTGTAATGTACGACTATCCCAGAGTCCAAAGTTGCTGACCGTTCACCTACGCAGATCACGACGATCTGATTTTGACTTGGCTTTATTTGGACTGCCATAACACCCTGTGCATGTATCACGTGATCCCTTCATACGCTGTCAGCCAAGCTGAGCCACAGCAGCCCCAGGCCCATCACACTGCTTGTTGCCCACATACGCTCACCTGAAACTTGAAGATGGGTACGTACTTTCTCGTTGCACAACAAAGACGTAGAGCTGACGTACGGATTTGTCACAGGTATTCCAAAGGTATGCCTTTGCAACAATGGTATCCTGTTGACTCTTATTCATGTCGCCTTCCAGTTCTTCCGCTATATTTCGTGAGTTCCGAGCCCATTCTCTATTAAGGAATATCCTAAGGACTTTTTCAGTGAGCGTTACCCTTTAACCTCTCAGTTGATTCAGGAGAATAAGATCCCGGAATTCGGTATGTCCTGTGTTCTCCACAGTCGCTAGAGAAACATTGACCATCTATGCAGACAATCTTTACCTTGACTTCAATGGAATCATTCACAATTGTGGGCACTATAAATATACCCGTGTGTTGTCCGTAACGCAATGTCATAGGTTCGCATCCGAATGACGAGGATGCACATTTCCGGATGTCTGAAGAGCAGATATTCACATCTATATTTGCCTACGTTGACCTATTATTTGGCAAGATCAAGCCGAAGAAATTGTTTTTTATGGCTGTGGATGGTGTGGCCCCTCGTGCCAAGATGAATCAACAGCGCAGTCGACGTTTTCGTACTGCAAAGGAGGCGAGAGAAGTTCGTGAGATGGCGTTGGCTAAGGGACAGAAATTACCTGATGAGAAGGCGTTCGATAGCAATTGTATTACGCCGGGTTGGTATCGGGCGTAACGACTATTTGGTTGTTCACTCACTTTTTTTCAGGTACCGAGTTTATGGCGAAACTTTCTAACCAGTTGAGGTATTTCATCAATAAGAAGATCACAGAAGACGCAGATTGGAGAGAAGTCGAAGTAGTTCTCTCAGGTCACGAGGTACCAGGAGAGGGAGAGCACAAGATCATGGAGTACATCCGGTTGTCCCGAGCGCAACCGGACTACAACCCGAATATCCGACATTGTTTATACGGACTTGATGCTGACCTTGTCATGCTCGGTCTTCTCAGCCACGACCCGCATTTTTGCCTGCTTCGAGAAGAGGTAAAGTTTGGGCCGGCGGCGAAGAAGAAGAATGGAAGGTTCGTGATTGACCTGTCTTCGGAAATGGTACAGATTCACGTTGATGATGCCTCCCGTGCACAGGCTGGAAGCACAAAACTTCTATTTATTACACCTTTCTTTAATCCGCGAATACCTCAATCTCGAGTTCCACGACATCGCGCCTGAGCTGCCATTCGGCTATAGCTTAGAGCAAATAATAGATGACTTCGTTTTACTTGCCGTATTCGTTGGGAACGATTTTCTGCCCAACCTGCCGGACCTCCATATCCATGAGAACGGCTTGGAACGGTTGTTCGAGGTTTACAAGAAGGTTCTTCCTTCGCTTGGTAAGATTTTTAAGTTCTTCCTCGGTCGCCTTATTCATACTGTTGCACTAGATGGTTATTTGAACGACGGTGGTACGATCAACATGAAGAGGTTGCAGCGTGTACTGGACGAGATGGGGGTTTGGGAGCGGGAGGTCTTTGAAAAAGAGTATGCCGATTTGAGTTGGTTCAAAGGCAAGCAAAGGAAACACATCAAAGAAATGGAGGTGGAGAGCAAGCAGTCAAAATTGGGTTTGTGTTGTATTACCACTAAATGATAACCGCCTAATCTTCCTATATTCCCGCAGTTTTGACGAGGGCTCAGCGCAAGATTTTTGATGAAGTGAAGGAGTTCGTCCTCAGCAACAGAGGGAGTCGTTCTATTAACCCTTTAACCATGCCCAACACTTTCCCCGCCCGAGATCGCAAATTCATCAGCAAGCTTAGCGAAGACCTTCACCTTTTAACCTCTTGGGACGAATACGACGACGACGATCAGAATCTTATCATTTTGCGGCTGCCCGACACGTTGCGGGAGCCAACACCCGACGTCGATGATGAAGAGATCGGCGTAGAGGATAAAGAGGGCGAAGGAGAATGGGAGGATGTTCCTGAAGAGGAGGATGAAGAAGCACTCTTAGCTGTGGACCGAGTACTAGCTAAGTATGAGAAAGCCGACGTCGCGGACGGTGATGAAGGTGGAGGTTTCGACAACCGATACGAAGCTTCAATACAAGAGAAGTTGACCGAGTGGAAGCGGAATTATTACAGGGTAAGCGGTGGGCTTCTGTGCATATTTTGCCTTTATATCGAGAGTTTTAGGATAAACTCGGCATTTCGTACGGTGATGCGGAAGAGATGGGAGCTTTAGTTCGCCGGTATGTGGAGGGTCTTCAATGGGTTATGCATTACTATTATGGTGGAGTTGCATCGTGGGGTTGGTTTTACGACTACCACTATGCGCCCCGTATTTCCGGTAATTTCTCACCGGGCCTTTACTGCGTTCGTTGTTGATGACTATCGGTTGCAGACTTGCGAAGCGTCGAAGAAATGACATTCCACTTCGAACTAGGTACACCTTTCCGACCGTTTGAACAGTTGATGGGCGTCCTACCAGCTGCAAGCAGAGACCTTATTCCTCTAGCTTATCGGGTTGGTTTTTGCTTTCTTTCTTAATTTTGCGCCAACTAAGACCCGTCCAAAGGACCTCATGGATGATCCGTATTCGCCAATATTTGACTTTTACCCCGCCGAGTTCGAGACAGACCTGAATGGGAAGAAGCAAGAGTGGGAAGCGATCGTCAAGATTCCATTCATTGATCAGCACCGACTTTTGAGAGCAATGACATGTACCGCTCACATCCTTTCCACTTTCTCTTTGGCGCTTATGATGATGTTCTAGCACGTGAGCACCGGTTGACCGACGAAGAACGTCAGCGCAACCAGTTTGGCACAAGTACAAGATTTGTTTTCAAGCCAGGCGAGCCGACTGTGTACCCGTCCTCACTCCCCCACTTCTTCCCTCCTATATATCGCTGCACTTGCAAGATGGAACCTTTCGATCTTCCTACTTTGGATGGATTGCACCTAGTACCTGGGCTTCGTGAAGGCGTTGCCCTCGGTACAAAGGCACTTGCTGGGTTCCCATCGCTCGAGACTTTGCCCCATACTGGCCAGATTGGTTTTCACGGGGTTAACGTTCACGGAACGGAGAGTCGCAACAAGTCTGTCATCTTACACATCGAGAATCCGCACGAAGACCGCAAAATCGAGGAGATCGCAAAAGAGATGGTTGGTAAACGAACATTTGTAGGCTGGCCATTCTTGCGCGAGGGTCTTGTGGAGGCGGTGTCGGATTCCATGTTCAAGTACGAACAGATGGTCGTTGTGCCAGGCTCTGCTCCCCGCATTGTTGCAAACCCGCACTCTGCGCCCCAGGGACTAAGTCATTGGAAGTCAAAAGCGAAGCAAATTCAGCACATGTACTCCAAGAGAGGCGGTGTCATCACGGGAGACGTGAATGTCCTCGTGCACGTCAGACCGCTAAAAGGTTGGTCCTGTCCGCTAAAGTGGATGTTTCTTTGACATCACTTTCTAGGGATGAAGCGGTTGGATGACGGCTCGTTTAAAAAGGACTATGAAGGACCAGAAAACGAGATCGAGCAAGCGGTACAGATGGTCATTTCGGAAGTTCACTCGGAAGATCCGCGTTTTCTAGAAACGGAACCGGTGTCGCTAGCAGAGGAATTCCCAGAAGGATGCAAGATTTTCTTCCTTGGTGAGCATGCGTACGGTGTTGCAGCCCAGGTGGCGAAAACGGTAGAGGACACTCTATCCGTTATTCTAGCAGTGCGTCCCTGTTAGTCAAGTCTGTGATTTAGCTCACTAATTCTGTAGTTCTTCCCATCCGACAAGCAAGAAAATGAGAAGTTCAAGGCGATTGTTGAAGATCGTGTCTCGCATCGGTATTATCCATCTTACAAAGCGGCAGCCAAGCTCGATATTTCTGGTCGAGCGCTGGCGAGGGTGACCTCAAGTTTCATGGTTCTAACGTCTGACTCTTCGAAAGAAAACCTGGGTTTGAGTCTTAAGTTTGATGCCAAAAGCTTGAAGGTCATTGATTACTCACGCAAGAATGGTCGTCACTGGGAATTTAGTGAGAAAGCGATCGATTTGATTCGTGAATACAAGGTAAGTTTATGAGTTACACCGTTGCTGAAGAATTACTCATTCTCGCAGACGAAATTCCCCGAAGTATTCGAGGTGCTGGACGACGATACGGATGGTTGGTAATGACGACTCTGCATAACGCAAGCTAATTAAATTTTTATTCAAATAGATATGGCACGAGCATCTGATATTTTCAGCGAGAACGCTGATGCGGGCGTACGCCAGGTGAAGACATGGCTCAAATCTAAAGGAGTCCGCGACTTTGAACCGGTTTCGCTGTACTCCGACCAACTTACCAAAGAGACCGTGAAAGAAATCGAAACCTTTGCTGACAGTGTCAACAAAAGGCGGTCTCATTCTGCCATTAGAAAAGCCATGGTCAAGGGAATCCCTCGGCACGCGGTCCTCAAACCTTCTCATGCCATCTATCACTTGCAAAATCAGCATTTTGAGCTTGGGGACAGGGTCACGATGGTCCAGGAGTCGGGAGGCGTACCCCTGGCTGCCAAAGGGGTCGTAATCGGGATCAATGCAAAAACAATGGATGTCGCTTGGGACGTTCCGTTCATATCAGGTGTAACGTTAGGTGATAGGTAAAGTTTTCCATTGGGGTCCTTCTCTAGAATTAGAACTGAAACCTCATCTAGGTGTTCACAATATCGCGGGTCTACGGTTCCGTTCACTTCATGCTTGAATTTGACTAATCCCCAATTCGTCGCGTCCACACATCCCAAGTCAGAACCACTGCCCCCTCCCACTATACCGTTCCGTCCTCGCCCCGGGACATACCCTGCTATTCGACCACCCCCTGGTCAAGCTGGTGCTTCTGGTTTCCGCCCTGCACCACTACCTTCTCAACGGCGAGTTGTCTCTTTCAGTCCAGGCACTTATCTCTCTAAAACCGGCGAAATAGTCATACCACCCCTGTCGCAATCATGACGAACCCCAACAGAGCTCGAAATGGAGCTGTCAATGGTCGCAGTCAGCCAGATGCTAATAGTGCCCAGTCGAATGAACATTTTGTGCCTCCCTATAATCATCGCGTACCCTCACAAGGACCTCGTACGAGTGCAAACGGAAACAATTACCATTCTCCGTTCCACGGCCAGCGTCCCCCACCTTCCCGTTCTCCCGTCAACCGGTTTGCATCTGATCACACGACAGTAAGACAGGTCTCCGTTGACAAACCGAGCCTACCGAGCCAGCCCGGTAATCATCACCCATTACGTGGGAGCACACACGGACACGGTTCAACTGGTTACCCCCATTCTCCTAGAGGGATGTTCACCCCTAGAGGTAGAGGAGGTCCGCCGTCATACGATCGTGGGCGTGGCAGGGGATTTAGAGGACGAGGTCGTGGTGGACCATACGTACCGCCTGTGCGGTCCTCGTAAGGAACAATGCTGTTGGATTTTCTGGTATGTCCCCATCTGTAGGTTTCCGTGTTTCCGTATGTACTCCCGTACCGGGTATTGGTATCTTAGTTGCTAAGCTGGTCACAGTAAACACAATCATGTGCTTTGTAAGCAGTGCTATGTAGTGGCTGTCTGTCAAACCGGCAGGTGCTCTCCGGAGTCGTTCAAAGGTCCATTAGCCACTTGCAGCCCTGCCAGACTGCGAAACTTATCCCGTTCATTGGGATAATTTTCAAATAGCCTACACTTAGGCCAACATAGAACCCTCTTATCCCAGCAGAGGCATATATCGCCCTGATTGTCTCTCCCCATCCAAGCCAGCGATCCGGGCGCGTGATGCCGCCGACTTGCATACGACGTCGTGTCACTTCAAGTGGATAAGATACGGTCTGGGCGATTGCACCCGATATAGCGCCGATGGCAAGATTAGCCAGAATACCAGGCCGTATGGAGGTGTCATCTCGGACAGGGTAAAAATGAGCGCGGAGAAAGTCCCATGTCAAAAATGCAGTGCCAGCATAAGGGATCATGCCGACCATGGTGACAGTGAAGCCGCGGTAGAACTTAAGGATCGGAAAGCGGTGAAATATATGCGTTGAACCGGCTGTTGATGCGGCAGAAGTCTGTGACACAGCACCCTCCCGATAGATGTCGGTCATGGCGCGGAAGAAGGAAGGACGAGCCCGTGCCGACTGGTCTGCAACGCGACTGTGAAAAGCCATGCGGACTCTAATCAACTCTAACGGGTATGTGAACGTGACGGAGGTCATTCCTTGCGAGGTATGTTCAGACCTACAAGAAAGTCACTGCCTGAAAAGAACATATGTACCTGCGAGTGCTCCAGCCGTGAATCGTCGCAAATTGGTCTCATGTTCTTTACTCGGAATCAAAACCTTGAAAAAGCGTTCTAAGAACGGGAAACCTCCATGGACCAAAGGTACTCACCGCACGCCACTGGTCATAAGCCATGAACTTGATACCTGCATAGGGAAATATACGGAGAAGAGTTGCCGAATGTCCTTGCAAAAGTCCTCGAGTGCCTGCATCTCTATATATTGCGAGACCAGCTCTGAATGCACCTGTCCACGATCCTTTTGACGGGGGGGTATGAGCAAGGATGCGGCGAACGTGGAGTTAAGGCTACACAGACCAGCATACTTCTGAAAATCGGGATTGGAGGCTTGAAAAAGGATTTTTACTCTATCAAGTGGTGCTACCGCTGTCTTTGCCTGTGAGAACCAGATATCAAAGATAATCAGAAGCGCGAGGATGAGAGCTGGTAATAAGACATACGACACATCCTGCGAGTCCGCCGGCGAGACCAGATCGAATTGCATACCCAAGGCTGTGCTTGTCTCGCTGACCAGAGACAGTTGTACTCATTAATATCTTGGTGTTCACCTGAACGCTTGCATGTGAAGGCCCAGAGTTAGAGAGACGTTCAGCGGACGGGTCAACTCCACCGCGCCGGGTCTTGTGAGCCTGCAGTCTAATCACACGCCCGAAGGCGGGCCGATCACGTGCAGAGTCCAGACTACACGCCGAGTTCCGGCTGAACACGAACAAACCTTCGGGGATCTTTGGGTTCTTTTGGACACACTCGAGTTTGGTTTCGTGATTGGAATGGCTGTGATACCATACTCATTTCTTTACTGGGACTGTGCCAACGCATCTGTGCGTTACACAGCTTGCCGTGCCCCAGACCACGACAGCCCGCCATTGGACCTTACTGACGATCATCTCAGGCCCCAGGTTAACCTGCCCACCTATTCTGTCGAAGGCCTCACGTCAAGGCCGAGTGTGCTGTGTTGCCGTCGGTAAGTATGCTGATGCGAATCCGGCGGCTATGCACGCCTCCGACAGGTCCGCCTTGTGTGCCACAGCCATACCAGCAATGGCACTGTGACATTTTGATACGTGCGGGAGGGTTTTCTTGTCCATCTCTGCGATACCAACGATCAATTATCGTCGACCAATGGTAGTGAGCCAAAATGCTGTGACTTGGGTGTGGATGGTAGTTGCTATCTCAGTCTGGCTGTACTGCCATGACGTCTCGTTGATGGCATTTGATGGCAACTCATATCGAGCAATAAGCTGGTTACACACCAGAGGTATATAAAGGTGAGGACAAGCACCTACGTTTCCCCAGCCCCCGTTCCATTTCGTTCGGCTCAAAGGCACTGGTTGCCTAGTAAGTTCCCTCCTAATCTGCCAACGTCCTTCACTGAGCATCATATAGCTTTTCTTCCGTGTTCTTCATTCAATCACTTTCAGCAGCTCCTTGACGGACTGTTCAACGTTCCGACTCAATCGCTTCCCTGATTGTACACAAGTTATCCTATTCATTCCTTCGTTACTCTCTTACCATTCACGATGCATTCCACGATCGCCATTTCTGTCTTTTTCATCATGGCTGCGATCAGCCCTGTTTTTGGTGCTCCTGCTTATGGCAAGCCACCCTCCGCGTAAGTTAATGGTGACTGTCTATGTTGGCCGAATATAAACGTCTGCGTGCATTCTAGCCCCAATGGCTCGGGCTCAGGCTCGGGGACCAATGTGGTCAAGGGCGTAGGTGCTCCGCCTTCCGCCGCCACGCAACCAGTGTACCCGGGGCTAGGTTCCGGTGGCGTTGCTCCGTCAAAGAGGGACTGGGACTGGGAGTCATGGACTCCACCTCCCATCCCATCCCCTCCGCCGATCCCATCTTGTTGGTGGAACCGTAGCTGCAAGCGGCAAGATGCACAGTCCGAGCTCCAGCAGCTTATCAACAATGCCCTCCAAGAAGGTCTTATCACACAAGTTGAGGCCGGCACTCTCCTGGAACTTGCGCAGTGAGTTTGAATGTCGCAACCCATGAACTAATGTGCTGATTCTCTTACAAGAACTGTGCAAACTCCTGAACAATTGCAACAGCTGCTAGGTACCGTGCTTGGAGGAACCAGCACTCTTCTTCCTACACCCACCAGCGTCCCCCCGGCAACGGCAACCCCTACTTCTACGCCTACCTCATCTAGCACCTCAAAGAGGTCAACCGCCGATATTTCTGGGCTCGTCAGTCAAGGACTTTCCGAAGTCTCAAGCATACAGAGCACCCTTGGTGGGCTTCAAAGTCTCTCCTTCGCCGGGCAAGCAGGGACAACCATCAATGAACTCCTCAGCGAGGCCAACACTGACGTGTCGAAATTGACGGATGCTCTTAACCAACTGGCGAGTACTGCATCACAGCGCAAGCGGAGCCTCGACAGCGACGTTCAGGGCTTCATCAACTCCCTCGAATCTGATTTGGAAGGTCTCCTGCAAACTGCTTCTGGTGCTCGTAGGCGCTCCGACGTCTTCGATGAAATTATCCAGGCTTTGGAGAGCGGGTTCGACGCCATTAAGAGGGATTCCAGCGCCACCGGTGTTGCAACTGCTGCTAGTGCTCAAAGGCGTTCCAACGTCTTAGATGAGATTATCCAGGCCTTGGAGAGCGGTTTAGATGCCATCAAGAGGGACCTTGGCGCCACCGGCGTTGCTGAGGGCGATGGCGAAGTTTTGCTTCCCGGCCTTGCCGGTGGCAGTTCGGCGCATCTGACATTTGGTCCTGGCCCAGTGGGCGTATCGCAGAGATCCACTAGCGACCTCATTTCCCTCGTCGATCAAGCGGAGGGCCAATTGTCAAGTCTACAGTCCACCCTCGGCAGCCTTTCTAGCAGCATCTCGACCTGGGCTGGGACGGCGTTGTCCAGTGCCGAGAACCTTATAACACAGGCATCCAGCGCTGCGTCGGATTTGCTGAGCTGCCTTGACAAATTGGCATCCGCGATTCAGGAAGCAAGTTCATCTTACCAGAGCGCCAACAGCGCGGCAGCTGGAGAATGGAGTTAACTTTCGGATAAATGTTTTAGGATATACTTGTTATGAAGAACATAGATAGACAGTAATGGAACATCCCCGACGGGCTCACTTTTTGCTTTGCGCAGACTGACGTCGGATTGCGAAACGCGCAACATCTATAGCGACGAGGAATGCAAGGTCTGTTGGCGCCATGTGTGTAGGCATAAGAGGACCTTAGCTTGAGCTTTTACTACTACGTAGTGCACAGTAGTACTATAGAACCTAGTCGTGAGGGAACACTCAATCGTCGGATAGGAATTGAATCGCAAGCACTGCGCCGCTGCGTATGTATGGAAGGCAAGCTCCTACGAATCATATCCGAGTAATTATTAGCTATAAATGGACATAGTAGTACGTGGCCAGCCACCCTATTGCCATCATGATGATGATCGCGCCTACCGCGCCATGATGCTGACAAGCGCTCTCTCGCCTTCTCTGTTTCCTACCACCACAGCCGCTGCATGAGGGAAACTTGGTACGCTTCCTGCCAGAACTAACGAGCACAAACGTTATATCGATTTTGACTTCAGGACGTGAGCTTTCCAATGTTGTTATGCACTGAAATTTTAGTTCACCCCGGCAATCAGACATCTAGTACCTGTTAGCTGCCATCATGCCCTACAAGTTCGTGGCAACGCTCACTGTGCTGTTGGTATGTCAGGCACCCAATCTCAACGTTTTTGTCCTCACATGACTTGAAGGCAACGCTCATTTATCGTACTGGACGAGTTCTGAAGCATAACGTCCTAAACCTCCCTAGCTTCCCTGAGGCGTACTATATAGGTGGCGATTACAAGGAGCACTGTACTATTATCAAGGATGAGTCAACCAACACTATTAATTACTGCGAGGACATCACTTTCTGGGACCACCTTGACGAAGAGGATCATTTGGCCCGTCGGTTCGTCCTCCTTGGGTGTGACCCCAACAGAAAGGCGTGGAACACAGTCATGGGTCCCTTGCGCGACCCGGAGCCGTTTGCACACTTGTGGTTATATTCCACCGAATCTGGCTCGCTGCATCCTGTCACGCTAGATAACTATCCAAAGGGCCACGACTTCCACCCACTCGGCATGGAGGTGTACCCTTCTAAAGCTGGCGCACCGTCTAACCTCTTCATCGTCAACCACGCTCGTGCAAATACGACCATCGAACAATTTGTACTTGACCCTACGCAGCCCACTACGGCAACCCACGTCCGTACGCTCACTTCGCCCTACTTTGTTTCCCCCAATTCTGTTGCTTTGACATCCCCCACGTCTTTCTACGTCAGCAATGACCATCTCATGACCCGCCGTCTTCCGAGTCCCTTTGGAAAAATTCTTCCTGTCATTGAATCTCTGGCTGCGCTCCCTCTTAGCTGGCTTGCGCATGTCACAATTTCCCCAGATGGCACTTTGCAACACAAGTTCGTTGCCTTCGGTGTGCCGTTCGCTAATGGGGTTGCTATTTCCCACGATGGATCTCAGGTTGCGCTCTCTTCTACCACCCTCGGAGAGGTCTACTTCTACGATCGGGATCCATTGACCAACGACTTGAAGTTTAGTCACAGCGTTCCTGTTCCACTCCTCCCAGACAATATCATGTACGCCGATGACGGTGCTCTCATCGTGACGGGTCACCCAGCACTTCCCTTCTCTTGCGGCCGTTGCAGCCAACCAAACCGGGGCGAAAGCAGCTAGCTGGTCCGTTTCCCTCCGCCCAATTTCAAACACTATCCACACAAAATCCAAGAGGGATTTCGTACAGAGAGCTTACGATCTTCGTGCGCCCTTATCGGCCTCGGCAATTGCTCCAGCTACGTTGACGCACGAGGTCGAAACGCTTTTCCAGAGTGATGGGTCGGTGTTTGGAACCTCCGCCACAGGTCTGGTCGATACGCGGACTGGGACATTGTACATGTCCGGTTTGTACGAGGAAGGGATGCTGATTTGCGGTCCTAAATAAGCGAGCCTCTCGCTGATGTAGCATCACGAAGAAATGAGAGCAACCGTTGTTGGGGGATGTAACTCTTCGTAATCCCTTGTAATGTTTCTTCGAGTTGATCTTTGGAAAAATCTATTTGCAGCCCTCCTTCGATATTCATGCTTCTCTTCTGCAACAAGGTACAAGGGAAAATAGTTGAGTATCGGTGATTGTATATCAGCGGCTAGCACGGGGTTCTCGAGTCGCTCTAGCGGCTAGAGGAAACATTCTTTTGGAATCAGCTATCCCCTTTGCTCTCGTGCTGATCATTTCATACAGGGGGGTCGAAAGATCTCGCGTATCCACTTGTACACGTGGTTTGCCCACATGAAAGCCGAGGTTCATTAGGGGGACAGGGATGGTGGAATCGTGGTCACGACTGGTCAGTGACAGGTTTGAACCATCTATTCGCTTACTGGATGTTAGTTCCAGAAGTCCAGAGTGTCTAAAAGTTGCATGTTCAAATCCTAAGTATAGCATGTAAAAAGCAAAAGTCCACATTCCACGAGCCTTGGGCTCATTTGAAAACTTCGCAAAGTCCCAAGTACGAATGTAAGAAGAGCAACAACTGTTTCCAATTTGAAGCTGAAGTGCTGAAGCCCAAAGCTCAGGCGAGCATAATCATTGCTTTGCATATCTTCGTCTTATACAGCCATGCTTGCCTATCCAGGTACCTCCGTCTTTATGGGAGACTGGTGCTATGTATGACAGAATTCAATTAGTATAAGAACTGCACGGGAGATCACGAGGGCGCACCTACTGAGGCATTTTTGCCTGTGAGCCGTCAACGATTCTTTTCTTGTATACCTCTTCCCACATATCTCGCACTGCACTTTCACTCCTAGATGCTTCTCTTTGACGTGGCGGGCCACATTCCTCCAAAGCATTTCATCATCACATCCTGTCCATGGACAGTAAATCGGTTCGAATTGCTTGTGGACGTGATTATGTAAGTGAAGGTCGTGCGAAATGGAGGTGATTGTATCCTCGAGGGACACAGTGCACCCAGGTCCCAATTGACATTGGTGCTCCATTGTCGAAGAGGACGTAGGGGTCAAAGTCTGTACCGGATGTACTGGTAATAGCTGATCTAGCCCGTGGATATGATCGCTGCTCACTTCCAGTCGTTGACGATTCGGCACGTCAGCTATCACCTGCAGGTATGCGGGGTTCTGAGACGCACATTGATCGTACAGGAGTGGAGCTGCGATGAACTCCTCCCCCGTTGCATGAGGTATCGGCGGGAGTGGGATAACTTGGTTGTTATCGTCTGGTGGTGGAAAAGGCGGAACAGTGAATTTCATGAATGTCGATCTGTTACAGCGAGGATACGATTGTGTTGAATATGGTGGGCACAGGTTATTATTCTGTCGAATCGTTCTCGTCATTATATGCAGAGAAAAGGCACGAAGATAGCAACGGTTCTTTGTGCTATCTGTGCCGCATTACGGTTGGCAGTCGCCCAAAACTTACTGGGTCTCCGACATACCATTCGCATGTCGTGCGTTGTTCTGCTGAGGTGATATTTCTTGGAGATCCGCTTCTTCACTTTTTGTCGCTGTGATTAATTTCGTACTTGGCGTTGTCACCGACAGTCTCCTTGAATTGAATCCAGCGAAAGAACGTAAGTCTTGGTACCTTCATTTATGTATATTCCATTTCCTTCCTTATCCCAATGACCCTCATGTGATGTGGTCGTTGGAGAAGTTCCGTAAAGAAAACGAGTCCGACGGATCGGTTCACCGTCTTAATCCGGATGGAAAGTGTGGCTACCTGACCAACCAACTCCATAATTACGGCAGAAGCCTCATCGCGTTGCATATGAGGAGACTTCTTCACATCGCTTTCGCGCGCATCTGTGTAAAGCGACCGGAGGAGCGGTTTGTAGTCGACGACAAAGTGTAGCCGCCGTCCGCGACCAGATCTGCAAACAGATCCAGGAAGTACCTTCAGCCACCGTTATTGCGGATGCCTGTCCAGGACAAAGCGAATCCCAAATGCTCTCTCAGAAGTGGGAATCTCCCTTCAGCGGTACTGGACTTGCAGATATTTGCAGAACACCAAGACGCCGTGAAAGCAACGTCACGGAGGGCTCCTCGAACCCACCCCCACGAGAGCACACCAAGAACAGCAGTGAGAGATTGCGAGCGTTATAAAATACTGTAGTCTGTACGCACATAAACCTCTCAAGCCGTATTACTATTATTTTCTTTCGGTGTATCATGTTTGGGTGATAGTTCGGCTGAACTGCTCATGATGCCAGTACATATTGCTAGTAACGCGTCGTCCTTGCGCCCAGGTGTGGCATTCCAGTCAGAAGAAGGATGTTCCACACGCAAAGAAAATAGGCTCACGACGTTCTATGGCTTATTATTGTTATTTATTCCAGGATGCGTAAACAAGTCCTGGTCTGTGAGGACCTTCGTAACACTCTCTCGTTCCGGACCCCTTCGCACGATCAAGATTGTTTACAGTGGTTTCTCTCCACCGAACACTGATGCAGTGTGAAGGGCCTGGAGAGCTTTTCCCCTGAGAACTATGACGTCATGTGAGCCCACAAACATTCGAACGCGACTCTATCATGTGGAATTTAAACCAAACGGATGAGGGGGAAAAGTATACGAAAGGCTTTCCAAAAAACAAAATTGCAAGTTCACTACGGTGCCGGCTGGCTATAGAAATTTCCGAGTCTTCGTATCGGTTCCAGGATATTCCCAAAAAAAAGTCGCAATCCAGAGCGATTTCAATACCAATCTTCAATGTGACACAATATCAGGGAAGAATAATTAATAAGGACCGAGCGCTGAGGGTGTACGTAGGGTCGGGTGAGATAGGAATAAACACGTCGAGAGAGTAGGTACGACAGCGGAGCTATCTTACAGCTGTCGTCCTTTTTCTGCGCCTCGAAACTGAGTCTGCGAATGTATGGACCCTTGCCGAAATACGGCTCACCGTGTTCGTCGGAGTCGACGTCGGTAGATTGTTGCGGAATGCACACGACCGCTCATGGCGCGAGTATGCCTGCAAACATTGAGTTAAGATCTGTACAATCTGGTCCTGTGTCATGACCAGCACATAATCGCCACGTCGTCCAAAGCAACGACGAGAATACATAACTCGACGTTGACGGTAAGGCGAGTGAATTCCTTATACAACCAGTCGTCCAAGTGTTCCAGGGTAGAAACGACTACCATCCTTCGATTTCGAGTCCGACTAAATAACAAAACTTGTTCTCTTCCTAGATCTAGGTACCACCGGGACAGTGTATATGACAGGGATTCGATGACCCACGAATTTCTGGTGTAAAATTTCATTGACATATGGTACCCCGCCCACACGAGAAAGCTGGGACTTACCATCAGGTGGGCTGAGAACTCTCAGTCCCACATGATTAACGACCATCCGAGGGACCACGGTAAGGAGAGGATCTCGACAAATGACTGCGCACCTACATTGGCTGCAAGGTTTTTGTGAGTCCGCTGAGTTCGCAGCAGCCATGTGTTCTACCAAGGGTCAATGTTTTGTAAGAGTTCAGTTGTCTGACACACCGGATTACAGTAGAGGCTGTCACGAACTTGTAATGTATAGCAGAAACTTGCAGATACTGCTTCAAGATCTATGGAAGCAACCGAGGCGTCCCCGAATAACAGTGCTGGACATCCCCTAGTTCCCATGGGACGAATTTGCTAGAATTTCAACCCGAGGGCTTAGAAGACACGGTGGCGCATACCGCAGATCAACTCTTACTGGTGATCAATAACAAGAAACGGCCGCCTGGCGGCGGCATCAAGACTACTTGATCAAACATAATAAGTAGAAGTACTGATTTGAGGATGTTATGGCTCTCTGGTACATGCCGGAGATAGTGACCAAAAGACGTGGTTATAGCTGAGACGACTCAGGTACATTGAAAGTTGCGTTGAGAGGGAATATGCAAAGGGCTGGCAACGTGACTGGTGGGTGAACCAGTGACTTGAAGGACAGAGGTATCAAGTACTTCGCGGTGATTTCTGCAGACAGACTAAACTATTGGCCGCTTGGGCAAGGATAACACAGGACGTTCACAAAACTATTACGCAGTAGACATGTAATATTCAGCGACCTTTGCAGAGGGTACTGGGGGCTAACTGGGTATTCATCGAGGGGCGAAAAAGACTTGCTAGATCTACAGACATTCAGCAGAAGTGAAATCACCGCGTCATCTTGGTAATCGATTAGTGATCGAACTGATGACCTCTACACGGCCTGCCTACGTCGGAATCATGATTCCGAAGGGGAGAGACCTACACGTCCTCTGGCATCGTATAGGAAGTGCGCAGAAAATGTGGATTTCCCGATTAGGATGACACATGCACGAGGACATTCATTGGGTTTTTGGGGCCAAAGCATGAGCTTGAAAGTGACAGTTGCCATGGGGCCCTGAGGGTAGTTCGAGTCCACGAAAGGAAAAGATTAACGACTGGCCAGTGAAGGCAACCTAGCGGGTAGTTTCGATGCAAAGCGTTGGAAACGAAGTGCATGCAACCAGTGCATAGTGTGCCGTCCGCGGGGCTTGGATTTCTCGCATGAAGCAGTCCGCTCTGGAAGGCCACTGATACCTTCACACTACGGGGGGCTTTCACGGGACGTTGACCAGGATTCAGAGGAGTTGGGTACAGTTCGGAAGGAAATTACGGCACAATATCTAAGCAAGCAACTGTCAAGAAGCCATGACAACAGCATACAATTTTCACGTTCAGCACCCACTGCATTTCGGGGACTGTGACGCTATCACAGATCTCCGACACTTCTTTCCAGTGAATCTCACCATTATCGAGCCTACATTTGGAGAGCTTGGGGGATGGCTATACTCGGTGATCTTGGACGCATGTTGATACTTCACGTGGAACTGAGACTATCAATACGTTCAGTACAAAAGTTCATTTACATCACTGTTGAATTTGACCGTGAATGCACAACCGGTACTCTCCGCCCTCCACCGAACATCGGTGCCATGCTCCAGAAGCTAGCCAGAATCAAAATGTTGATCTCATATCTCGAAGGGAACGTCATTTCAGGAATTTCGGATCGACCCGACACTTGGCCAGGCCATGTGATCCATGGATCTTTGAGGAGTTGGCGCCGTGGTCTCCTGTCATGGGGACGTTTGTCAATCCAGGAAAATTGTAGCTGGGATTCAGAAAGCTTCGTCCGTTTTCCCAGATACGCAGGTAGAAGCATTCATCCGTTTTTTGATTAAGGACAAAGCTCTGGTCCATCTGAGGTACAATCAACCATGTGGCACCCCAACGTACTTTGAACCCTTGCTTCTCTAGGATTGAAATTATCTAAACAGTCAGGGAGCGTAAATGATCGCGGGACAAGAAGTGCGGACTTGGAGCCAGCTGGCCAATAATCTTCCATATCATTAGGTTACTCCATAAAGGCAGAACGGTCCGAGAGACGATGAAATTGAGATCGTGAGTGTCTGAGTCTTGTCCGTCAATCTACCAGACATTTCTCGGACCGTGTCTATCGGATATCCAGGAAGACCCTCCTGACATTTCCTGATCGTTTCCCACTCAACTAGCAAACCTGCAACACCTATCCCCGCTCCCCTTAGCCGAAACCCATATCCTCGGACAGTTCCCCGCATCCTGGCGCTGGATGCCATTTCATCTGTTAAATTAAACTTGTCCTTGGTCTCCCCTTTGAGCGTCGTCCAGAGCGCCGCACGGAATCACGGGCCGAGCTGGGATTTACTCTCATAAAGCCTATGGCGATAATATGTGCTTCTGAACGGGCGAACGTACTCTCGGCGGAATGCCGAAGTGCATCAGACGACACTAGACACCGCGTTTGAGCAGTACATCACGTATTAAGTCCGTGGTGCACAAGTTTGTCTCGCAGTAAATCCGTATTGCAAAAGCTTGTCATGCAGAGGAACCGAAGAACATCATGCAATAGAACTGGTATACAGAAGTGTTAAAGTTCACCACACCATCTCGCACTTCAAGTTTGGAAGAGTTCACATGTGGCCGCCTGACTTGTTCTCGGCGACTACCTATGGTAAAGTACTAGTCTCCGGTGTGGGATGGATATCACCTTCTTCGGTCTAATATCGTCCATGCACCGTACGTGAGCTTGTATAGGGATGGTGCCCCGCGTAGCGAGGATAGTAAGTATATGGTGCTATTCAACGCCAAACCTTTTACCTTCATCAGTAAATTCAGCCAAATTACAGCATGCACATTAGACAGTTTTTGAATGCTCGGCAAACACTGGCGAACATTAAGCGCTTGAAAACCCAGGTTTTTGAACGCTTAGCTTTACTGATGTTGAGCCCACTCAAGGAACTACCCGTTTATACGGACAAACGGGGCCTCCGTCTGCTTGACCTACTATGGGCGACAGCAAATGCGTCGACATGCCATCTCTGGGAGCATGCGGATACGGTCGACATCAATTCGCAACGACGACTCAACCTTGCCTTCACTACCGCCCTCTCCGACTGCGCCGGAGCTTAGGTGGGTCTAAATGGAAGAACTCTCAAGAACGCCCACTCCCACTGCGGGGAATGGTTTGTCGTGGTTCTTGTGCGGAGTGCAATCTTGAATGTCACCCTCAGGACTATCTTCGCTGTAGGTCGATCTCATGCGCGATTTGCATTTATTCACAAGTTTACATCATTCGGCGAGGAGGCCTGCCATCCTAGATATATCATCACCGCTCGTATCTCTTGTGGTCTCGCGGCCGCTCATGAGTCTAGAATCACTGCACGACAAACTTGTGTACTGTGGACTTACTGCATGATAAACTTCTGCACTTTGGACTTGCTTACTGCATGAGAGACTTCCACATAAACGGCGCCTGGCGTCCTTCTTCCGGCGTAAGTACTGACATCCGAAATTCTCGATGTACCTCGGCATTCCGCCGAGAGCAATTGTCCATTCAGGAACGCGATTTTCCAGCTTTCCATACGATCATAGAGTGATTCTGACCTTCGGAGGGTCCGTACGTCCGGTCTCCTTCACGACCCCCATATAAGATAAGGGGAGAACAGCAGTTCTGCTGCCGAACCCTATCATGATATATGGCACTCGATGTGCAAACAACCTAAAAGTCGAACTAGCGAGCCTTCCATCGAATTCTGTTCACCCGCGTCACGTCACGTACATGAGTGACTGAGGTTGGGCTGTACATGGGTTGTCTGGGAGGAAAGATGGATTTGGCTTTTTGTGGGTTTGCTATTTCTGTCTGGTTTGTGAGGTAGACGATGACTGGACCTTTCACAACCTTGAACGTAGACTAGTGTCCTGCCTGGGGTAGCAGATCATCTCCTCGTAGGGGCGGTTCAGCGCGTATAACAGGCAACCTGTACTTGAAAATGGTAATATTCGCATGAACACTCGTGCGCGTTCTTCACTGTCGCAAAACGGTGGGAAATTGAGTTCAATATCATGAACGTAGGATTGTTACTGCAGGAAGAACTGCAGGGACTCGAAGCGGAGTGTAAATCTGTAGAAGACGACAACTCCGCGCTTTCTGCACAACTCAAGCAGCAGATTCACCTCTGACCTATATATACGTTAGTTCAGCGAGTTGACCCATGCTGACTCGGCGATATTTGCCTTAGAACTTGCGAAGCTCAAAAGCATGCCTACAGTATTGACGAGCAGCTGGCCGAGGCAGAAGTAACTGTAAGAGAAATGCTTAGAGATCCCGCTGGCTCATGCATTCGCATACATGTGACCTTGCTCTTCTTAGACTCAAAGGCTGCAAAAGGGCCTCACGCCACTAAGAACCGGGCAACCTATGACATCCGCTGAAGATGGGTTCGCAGACGAAAGATTTTCAACGCGTCAGTATTTGTACATTTCTAACTTGATGACATCATTACCGGTAAGGCATGATGGACGTACGACTAACCTCACTACAGATTCTGGCAGATTGCAACGGACGCATTGTCGCCGCAAGATGCCGCGGCCCTTGCTGAGCACCTTGGAATCGAGTTTGACGGGCCTGAACATGTTGAATTAGAAGAAGGGCCTTTATGCGCCACTGTGCAGCCCAGTAACAGGACGAACCTCAAGCGCAAACGAGAGTGATCATCCTGACTCGCTTGTAACATATGCTCTGCTCTCCCGAGATGATATCATAACGACTGTGTATTAACATCGACAAGACGTACAGTTTCGATAAATATCAGACGGTAAAATACTTTCAGTGTTGCTGATCCCAACGAAAAACATTGAAAAGGCGGTGTTTATGCTCCGAGATCAAAGGCACGGCCATTCCACCTTGGTCTTCTTTTCTCCTCGAAAGCCTTCATACGGACGGCCTCCCTAAATTAAATGAGTTGGGGCGGTCGAGCTGAAACTAGACAAGATAGCCTCAAATACGTGTAAGTATGACCCAGGGCGTGCGCGGCTGCCCGTGGAACAAGAGAGAGGTGGAAGCGCTAATGCTCGACGCGGACCAACATGCTAATGCAAATACATGGTAATTTAAGACCAGAAAGGTTGCAGAGCAGCAGCGCTTTTTGATGCGGGCTATGACATCGTACATGACAAGATTTTACGGCTATTAACGCCTCTGCAAAAGCAAACCCCTTTAGTACTTGCCGTCTTTCTACCATTTTGCGGCCGAGGGGCTGGGCAAAGCGAATGTAGGCTTTGAATTTCAACTACGGTCCGTGCTCTCCAAGGTGGGTTCAGCCTGAGGATGGCAGCTTACATAACAGGGACTTCGCTCCGAAGTTGCTCTTTCCAAATTCCTGGCAAACCTGGCCACAATTTTTTAGAAAGTCTTACGGCAAGAACTTTCCCGTGAACAACGCTCGAAGTCGAACGTCGCCAAGTCGCCGATATTGGGAGGGGTGACTGGTCCGTACATTGGCTCAACCCTTCTGGTAGATCTTGCTTCGAACCGAATCACTGGTGCCCACCGATGCTGAACCCTACTAACGTAAGGTTGGTCGATGTACTTAACTGCTAACGTAATGGTGATTCCCAGAAGCTCACACCATACAATGTGTACGAAGCGAACCAATCGAGAGACGATGCAACTAAATCAGGAAGGTCACCGACAGTGCAATACAAAATTCGAGAAACAAATCTACATGGCTTTTACATGCCCTCAACATCATTCCAGCCAACAGGTTACTCCCTATCGACCTCACACAAAGGAGTGTCGCACATCTAGGCGTTGACGTTGATGGGAGAACAACCGACTGTAACCAGGCCATTCTGTAGATCGAGCGTGTTAAGTGAGCCTGCGTGACATGTCGGACAAAAATGAAGACGTACGAAGTTGTTACCGCTGCAGCATGCAGACTGCTGCGATGCCTGGCAGCCTGCACCGGTGCCGATAACGGTAATGGGCACGCAGTTGACACCAACTTGGCCAAGCAGTCCGACGTCAGCGGGTACTAAACCAACTTGCTGGAGTAACGAGGAAGCTTGGCTGGCCTGCCACCAGTATGATTGTCAGCGAAAGCGTAAAGCAAGGTAAAGTAGTAGGCTGACCTGCTGGACGCTATCGCAGCATTGGATCGAACCACCGTTGCATTGGCCCACAGGTACGCCGCCAGCGATGGCAAGGATAGCGAGGGAAACGACAGAGAGGATGCGAGTTAACATATTTTATAACAAGGGGGGGAAGGCGAGTGCTGTAGCGTTTATCAAGTCGAAGGAAAAAAGGGAACTTTTGACCTGCTGAACTGTCGTTTGCAGATTGAGTCTTTTTATACCTGGTCGAATTCCCGTTGTTTACGTTGATCCAAGACTCTGTTCTCCACTGGATCCTCCACACGCCTCACCGCACCGGGAACTCTTCGAATCAAAGGAATGTCAAGAGTTCGGTCGGGACGGCCACCTCGCCGCGCATCTCGGTGACCCTCGGCTGGATGTGATGTCCTTGTCCGCGGTTTCCTCAGTACATGCCATTCCACCAGCATCTCGCTACCTGACCTTTTACTGCGACGTCTATTCTGGGTGGAACTGATTGCGGTTCGTGAAGCGCGTCGAATGGAAGTGGCCCGGGTTCTGGAACCCCTCACCATAGCTGGTCCTGTCATTTCCAAATCTCACCGCGGGAAAGCAGATCTACGGCGCTCTCAGATCTGCGTGTTATCGTTCATGCTAGTTCGATAAACTTGGAAGGAAGATGGCTTTAACATGCGTGCGTGCCTTCCTGCGAAGCAAACATCTACGATGTCGCGACGAATGTAGTGACGACGGCCTGAACTTGTCGGTCCCTGCAACTTCCACTTTGGTTGGGCGAAGACTTAGCAATTCCCGCTCCACCACAACACTCGAGTCACTGAGAGTCGTGTGGCCGAATGACGTACGTTAATTGAAGCAGCCTCCCTCGAAGCTCGCATCTTCCTTTTGAGTTGCCAATTTCCGTAACTGAGTTTCTTCTCTGAACAATTTTACAACGGACACGCTGAATCCCGAATGCCGAGAACGACGGCTATTATGGAGTCTTCGAAGGCAGTGGAGCCGTATCCAAGAGGATATGAGACATCAAACTGACCCTCAGTTGCACCTGCGTCTTCCTTGCGGCATCTAGGATCGCTCCTGGGTTGTCCCACGTGATCGAGCCGAGCAGATATTGATTCAATTCGAGTCGGTCGGCATACCGATGGACGATCGTCTTGATTAACGCCATCCAGTCCACCCCACTTGACAACTCCCGTGGCCTCGCCAACCCCTCCTCGATCCGAGATTTCGCTCTCCGAATATCTTCGTCTGCTATGTTAAGTAGTCGATGATCCCATCGCTCCTTCCCAAACCGCGCGGGAACGAGAGAGGGAATGAGGTCCGTGTCGTAAAACGAGATGACATTGGCAAGGTCCAACCGAACATGTTGTTCGCCGGGGGAACGATTAGACCAACTTCCCGCGTACAAGCTTTCAAAGGCGCGAAGAAATACTCGAGATTATCTTACTGGTGGTAAGTCAAACGGGTCCGGGCTTGCTAGATGCAAGAACGAAACAGCTTGAAGACCAGATGTGAAATTACAAATCATCGCCTCGCTGGACTCTGCATAAGAAATTCAGCACTTTGGGCCATGAAACGCACCCACAAGTCCATTTCCATTCTTCGCGATCAAAACATCAAGTTGTGAGGTTACCAGTATCAACCGAGCATCGTACAGGATATTCACCTTATAAAACCATCCAGCCCGTGCTGACTTCCCCACTGACAGAGCGTGTTGATCCCCTCCCGCTCCATAGACGTTTGGTTAGGAAGCACTTTCCCCCAAGTCAGTACGTCCTGCGTGTCCATATTCCCGTACACTAGCTTCGCGGCGCTGGTTCCACCAGAGTACAGAACCTTTAGAGGCTGAATCGTCCCCAAGGTGAGGTGCCAGCATCCGTTTTCGGAGGGGCCCATGCAAAAAAATGTCGACTCTTCTGGATTCATAGCAACCCAGTCAGGCACCGTAGGAACACGGTGGCGATTTGTCGCATGATAGAGATATGTTCCAGTTGGGACTGTTCCTGGCACGATGGTATGACCTGAAAGCAGCCTGCTAAGATGTCCGAAAGAACATACTGATTAGCGGGGCGCCGGGTGGAGGGGCTCACCGTTTCTCATCCGGGTGTTTGACCAGTGCTGAAGAAGGGAATATACTGTCTCGAAGACGAGGTGACCAGTAGCATTCGGGCTGGGAAGATCTTCAAAATTCCAGTGGGTAGGATTACTGTCGAAGGCATTGTTTGCAACCCCAGCCCCGCGATCTCCAACGACATTCAGTGGAACCTGCGTGGCCGATAGCAATTCAGAGCCCAACAATGCCACAAGTAAACTCCATAGAATGGTCGAAAGATGCATATCGCCTTGGTACTAGATGGGAAGCACTGTGCTATCAAGTACCCACACCCAGCGGGGCACTACAGCATCAGCAAATCATGAGTTCACTTATCCTTACTTGACAGCTACTTAACATTTGCTTATCATACCAACTGCCAAGCAGCCATCTGCTTGGGTTGCATGATCTTGACTGCATCTGGTTCATGGAGTAAGGTGCAAACCCACAGAAGTTCCTTTCCAGCTGCCAAAACAGCCATGTACTTGGCTTCTGTGCTCAACAGAACTACAGAGGTCTGTTTCTTCAAAGACCAGCTTACAGCTCCACCAGACAGGATAAAGACATAGCCTGAGACTGAGTGATGGTCATTAACATCTGTGGCCCAGTCTGCATCAACATAACCAACAAGGGAGCCACTAGGGTCCCTTGTGTACTGTAGACATGCACTTGAAGTTTTGCATAGGTACCGGTAGACCCACTTCAGTGCAGACCAATGTCAGTCTCCAGGGGTAGTGGCATGCCTGCTGAGTACACCTACAGTGAAAGCAAGGTCAGGTTGTGTCACCAACATGGCATACATCAGCATGCCAAGTGCTGATTGATATGACTGAAGGTCACATGCAGGGGCATCAACTTTTTCAAGTTTTAGGTTTTGCTTGATGGGTGTAGACACTGTCCAGCCATCCTGCATGCCTATGTGCTCAAGAATTGATTCTATATAATGACATTGGGAGAGTTCTATCATTCCATTGTCACAATCTTGTATAATCTCCATCCCAAGTATCCAATGAGCTTCTCCCAAGTCTGAGAGGTCATACTTGGCTGACAGTTGGGTTTTTAGATGTTCGATGGCTTCACAGCTCTTCAACAAGATTAATTTATCATTGATGTACACAGCTATGATGATTGAGGCACCATCTTCAACCTTGAAGAATAGACTATGGTCTGCATTGGAGCCCATGCACCTGGTTAGGCTGTATGAGACAGTCAGCAGAGGTTGACAATTGGCCATCGGTGATGGGCCAGCAGAGGTTGAGCCCATGTATGGCTTGTGCACATGTGTTACATGAGAGCCATGAACCTATTGTCACCTTGTAGTATGGGAGAGCCCAACTGATGAGTGTCACCATGTAGTACAGCTGAGCCTGAGAGGAAATGTTGTCATGAGGAATGGTGCAGCTGTGGTTTGAATTGTCATTGTCAGTTACAAGCAGGCTGGGGAGTAAGTGTCATCATGGACTATGGAAGAGCCCAATAAATGCATGTCACCATAGCATACAGCTGAGCCCAAGAGTAGGAGTCATTATGGAGAATGGCTGGGCAGAGGTTAGAATTGTCATAATGGGGTACAAGCCAGCTGTGGGATTAGGGTGTAGCCACTGCAATATGAGTAGTCCCAGGTAAGCCCAGAGTTGGGTGTCCCTGGAAGGTATGGATGGGCTCAGCCCCTGAGTTCACCCCTGGCAACACTGTCATGCAAGCCAGCCCAACACCAATGCCATGCTAGCCATCCTGGCAACACTGCCATGTGGGCCAGCCCACAACCAATGCCATGCAGGCCATCCTGGGACAAATGCCATGTGAGCTGGGCCAACACCAATGCAATATGAACAGGCCCATTACCAATGCCATGCAGGCCAGGACAACACCAATGCTATGCTGGCTGTCCTGGCATTGATTCCATGTGGGCAGACCCAATACCAATGCCATTCAAGGCATCCCAGCACCAATGCAATGTGAGCCAGGCCAACAGCAACCCAGGACCAATGCCATGGAGGCTGTCCTGGCCAGCACTGATTTAATGTGAACTGGCACAATGCTAATGCCATGGAAGCCATGCTGGCACCAATGCCACATGTTCCAGCACATCACCACTGCCATGGGGCCATCATGGAAGATGTCCCAGCACTGATGTATTGTGAGCCAGCACCAGCACCAGGTCCATGTGTTCCAGCATATCCCCAATGCCATGGGGCCATCATGCAGGCCATCCTGGCACCATTGGAATGTGTTCCAGCACAACACCAATGCCATGGAAGCCATCCTGGAACCTATGCCATGTATTCTGGCACATCCCCAATACCATGAGGCCTATCATGAAGGCCATTCTGGCACCATTGTAATGTGTACCAGCACTGGACCAATGCCATGGAGGCTGGCCCAGCACCAGTTCCATGTATTCCAGCATATCCCCAATGCCACAGGTCCATCATGCAGGCCATCCTGGAACCTGTGTAATGAGAGCTGGCACATCCCCAATGCCATGGGGCCATCATGAAAGCCATTCCAGCACCATTGTAATGTGTTCTGGCACAACACCAATGCCATGGAAGCCACTCTGGCACCTATGCCATTGTAATGTGTTCTGGCACAACACCAATGCCATGAAAGCTGCCCTGGCATTGGTTCCATGTATTCCAGCATATCCCCAATGCCATGAGTCCATCATGCAAGCCATCCAGGCACCAGTGTTCCAGCACAACACCAATGCTGTGGAAGTGGTCCTGGCACCTATGCCATATGTTCTGGCACATCCCCAATGCCATGAGGCCATCATGCAGGCTGTCACAGCACCATTGTAATGAGTTCTGGCACATCTCCAATGCCATGAGGCCATCAGTCAAGCTGTCCCAGCACCAATGCCATGAATGCCATCCTGGTGCCAATGCCATGGAGGTTTTGGAGGATGACACGCTGCAGGACTGTCAAGTCTATGGAGAGGAATATACTCAGACTTCAAGTTGGTTGAAGCTGAGGTGCAGTAAGGAAAAAATAAACTGCTAAGTGTCCGCTTTTGGATTACATAATGCTGTGCTCGGTGAACCACAACTAAGGTAAAGGTGATAAACTCCAACATGCCCCTTCAGCGAGTATAGTCAAGAAGGAATTAAAAGAAAAAACAATACCCATAGCTTCAGAGAAACGAACATGCTTCTCCCTAGACACACCCTTAGTCAGCACATTGGCCACCTGGTCATTGGTAGACACATAGTTGACGACTACTTCTCCAGAATCCACCTTCTCTCATATGAAGTGATGATGGATTGCAATATGTTTCGTGCAGTCATGGAACATTGCATTTCGAGCCAGTGAGATAGCAGATTGATTGTCAATGAGGAGGGGAGTGGGTTCGTGTGATGACACAGTCTTGAGTTTGAGGACTAGGGTACGAATCCAGATAGCTTCCTTCATGGCAGTGCATGTGGCCATGTACTTGGCTTCTGTACTTGAGAGAGCAACAGATGATTGCTTTTTCGATGACCAGCTAACAGCTCCACCAGAAAGGATGAACGTATAGCCAGTAACAGAGTGGCGGTCATTCATATCCACTGCCCAATCTGCATCTACATACCCGATTGCGCATGCATTTGAGTCTCGCTTATAGGTAAGGTGGACATCAGGGGTGTGTCGCAGATAGCAAAAAATGTGCTTTAGCACAGTAGAGTGTTCATGCCCAGGGCATACAGCATGATGGCTCAACACACCTACAGTAAAGGCAAGGTTGGGCCTCATTGCTAGCATTGCATACATGAGGGCTCCAAGAGCACCCTGGTATGACTTGGTGTCGGCCTCTGGAATTTCTAGTTTTTTGAGCTTTAGGTTAGGCTCAATGGGGGTCATGATGGCTCACCCCTCACTCATTCCAAAGCACTCGAGAATACTCTCGACATATCTCTTCTGTGAGAGCTGTATGATACCTTTATCATGGTCGCGAAGTATCTCCATTCCTAAAATCCAATGTGCCTCCCCCAGATCTTTCATCTCGTACTCCTGCAAGAGCTGAGCCTTGACGTGCTCAATGGTTGTGCAGCACTTTCAGAGTATTAGCTTGTCATCTACATAGACAGCAACAACAATGAGTATGCCGTTCCCAACTTTAAAGAAGAGGCTATGGTCGGCCTGGCTTCGAGTGAAACCCAGGGATTTGAAAACAGTCTGAAGGCGAGAGTACCATGACTTGGGGGCCTGTTTAAGGCCATAGAGCGCTTGTAGCAGCTGCCAGACTTTGTTGCTGTCAGGAGGAAAGCCCGGAGGGGGGTGAAGGTATATTTCCTCATCTAATAGTCCATTTAGGAATGCAGATTTAATATCCATCTGATGAATTTCGAGATTATACTTAGCAGCAAGTGCCAGGAGTATGCGGATGGTTGTGAACTTGGTGACAGGTGCAAACATCTCTGTGTAGTCGATCCCATGTACCTGTGTAAAGCCTTTGGCTACCAAATGAGCCTTGTACCTCTCAATTTCACCAGTTGGCCCTTGCTTGATCTTGTAGACCCATTTTGAGTCAATCAGTTTACAGCCAGGGGGCAGGGCAACTTCCTTGTACAGTCCGATGGACTTAAAGGTCTGTAATTCATCAATCATCACAGCATACCACTGATCTGCATCAGTGCATCACATTGCATCATTGAATGAGTGAGGTTCATTGTCATGTGTTGTGGATGCTTTGTAAGCCACTTCCTCATTCGTCTCAGCCACCTCAGCCTCACTGTTGCCACACACACGCTCTCGCTCTCGAGTGACTTTGTCGATGGGGCTTCCACCCTCACTCTCTGCACCTGAACCCTCTGGCGCTGCAAGCTGTTGACTAGGTAAGGTTGTCCTGTCATAGGAATTGATGAAAAAGTGATAATCATCATCTCTAGGTGGCGCTTTTTGTGTTCTGGTGGACCTGTGGGTCTCTCGAGGCAGAATTGGAGTTGGATAGGGCTGCGGGGGTGTTGCTTTATGCATGGTAGGTTTTGGCATCATCCTAGCTCGCTTTACTGATGGTTTTGAGGCCATTTCAAGCGCTTTTTTAGGACTCTGGCTGCTGCCTGGCATGTTACCCTCTGAGTGCTGTGGGGAATGATCTACCTTTGATCCTGAGTGATCAGGTGCGTCGTTTGACTTGATTTCAACCTCATGGACAACATCTTCACTCTCTCCCTCACTAGACTCGAGATCCCCATCATCAGACTCCATGTGAGCATGGCCTTCCATGCCCAAAGCCCTGATGGTATCCAGGTGCGATGTATTGCCCTTTTGGGCATTCCCTCTTATGTCCGCTGGTTTACTAACCATGCCTGCAGGATCTTCTTCTATCCAGACACGATCTAGGCCCGCTGCTGTGCTTCCCTCATCAAATACTACATCCTGGGATTTGAAGACACGACCAGTGGGCTGGTGTAAGCATAGGTATGCTTTCTTGTTCTCTGCAAAGCCCAGATGAATGCATTCTAAGGACTTTGCATCTAGCTTCTTCCTTTTTTCCTCAGGTATATGTATGTGTGTGGTGCAGCCAAAGGTTCGGATATGGGCCAGCGATGGCTTGATCCCTGTAAAGGCTTCATATGGTGTGACATCCTCAGAGATAGCATGGGTTGGTGATTGGTTGATTAGGTAGGCCACATACTGGATAGCATCTCCCCAATATTTATTTGGCAGTCCAGCATCTTTTAGCATTGCCCACACACTTTCAACAAGTGTGTGGTTCATCCACTTGGCAATGCCATTCTCCTGTGGGGTATAGGCATTCATCTTCTCGTGGTGGACCCCTTTCAACTTGAGGTAGGCCTTGAACTCATCTGAGCCATATTCCCCACCTCTGTCATTCTGAAAATAATTTGCTTTTTTGCCAGTCTCGACCTCAGCTTGAGTGAGGTAGTCTTTCACTGAGGGGAAGACTTTGTCCTTGGATTTTATTAGTTTAACCACAAGGTGGTGTGAGCGAGCATCAATGAAGGTTATGAAGTAGTGGTGTCCAGTTTGGGCTGTAGTCTCCATGGGGCCACATACATCAGAGTATGTGCGGTAGAGTACTGTTGGGCTTTCAATGTTTGACCTGATGGGTATCACCTTATGGTGTTGCTTCCCTTCAAGGCAAGGTTGGCATACAGAGTTTGAGTGCTCAGTGCTGGTAAGCTCCAAGCCTTCAACCATTCCTGCTTTAACCAGTTTAAGCACAGATTTTGTACTTGCATGCCCAAGTCGTCGATGCCACAAGTCAAGTGTGGCTACAGACTTTGGTGCTGCAGCTGTGAGTGCCAGGAAAGTAAGGGTAGGGTCAAGTAGTGGAGATGGTCCTTGTATGACAAGTGCTCTGTGACTTGGAGAGTGAGTCCTTGCTGCAAGGATGTAGAGTGAGCCTTGACGATGACCCACACCTACAGTGTCTGTACCATCAGTGATTGAGCATGTTCCACCCATGAAGGTGACCTGGACATTTCTAGTGGCAAGGTATGCCACCGAGAGGAGGTTTGTGCTGAGATCTGGAACAAAATAGACCTTCTGTAGTAGGACTCCACTGGTCTTCCCATTTGGAAGATCCATATGAAGTTTGATCCATCCAATGGCAGTAGCAGGAATTGTGCACCCATTTCCAATGACTACAGGCTGTGGGGGTGAGAGCATCTTTAGCGAGGTGAACCATTTCTGCTGACAGCACATATTCACAGAGGCACTGGAGTCAATGACCCAGTGTGTGTGTAGGTTCTCACCATTGTCAGTGGCCATGAAGAGCCGTAGGGTGCTGTCTTCAACAGGTGAGATGTGCGTGACTTTAGCAACAAGTTTGTCCTCCTTAGGCTTATCCTTTTCAGCCTGTGATGGGGACTTGGCTGCCTCATCAGCCTTCTTCTTGTAGCAGTCATCTTCGACATGGTTCATCTTCTTGCAATAGCCACAAGCCTTTTTCTTTTTCTTGTCATTCCTCTTTCCCCTTTTGTTAGGCATCTTTGTTACGAGGGCAGTTTGTGCCAAAGAGGTGCAGCGAGACTTCTCTTCTATCAAGACTTGGGAAATGACAGAGTCTGGAGTTAGTTTCTCATTGGATGACATGAGTATAGTGTGAAGGGTTGAGTATGAGGTTAAAAGAGAGATGACCATGGCTATGGCAACAAGAGAGTCTTCAAGGGGCTGTCCCAGAGACTTTAGGATTGTTGCCTTCTGCCACATGGCATTAAGCTGCGTCTCCATCGAGACATCATCTGCTAGGGTACCACAAAATAGTTCACCTATAAGGTAGGCAATTGTTTGCTTCCCTTTGCCTTCATAGCGCTCACATAGCTTTTTCCAGACTTCTGCTGCTGTCGTGGCATGCAGAACACCACTAAGTGGGTCATCCTTTAGAGTAAGCGTGATTTGAGCCCTTGCTTCTTTATCCTTGTAGTGCCAGTCTGTGCATGCAACTGGATCAGCTGCTGCATCAGGTGCCTTCAACTTTCCTTCTATGAGCTCCCAAAGTCCACGGACATCTAGGATCATCATAATTTGGTACTTCCATGTCTGGAAGTTTGAACCATTGTCTTTGAGGGACAGTATGTCATAGAGTCAACTGGAGGCTTGAGTAGCTTTACCTGAAGGTGTAGTAGAGGTTACTGTTGAGGCAGAGACCAGGACCTTTGAGGGACTGGAAGTGGATGCTGACAGACCAGACATAGTAGACACTTTGTACCAGACTTGACATGTTCAATTTTCCTAGGATTAGAACTTGCAGGTGGGGCTCATAACCTTTTGGAGGATGACACACTGCAGGACTGTCAAGTCTATGGAGAGGAATATACTGTAGGTAGGTAAGTAAGTGTTCCAATATAATGAATGGAAGGAGTCCCACCTCAGACTTCAAGTTGGTTGAAGCTGAGGTGCAGTAAGGAAAAAATAAACTGCTAAGTGTCCGCTTTTGGATTACATAATGCTGTGCTCGGTGAACCACAACTAAGGTAAAGGTGATAAACTCCAACAGGAGGCCTGCCCAGAAATTATACCATGCCATGCCTGACCTGCCTGACCTCCCAGGAGCAGGTCCACAGTGTATGTAAGTACTGGTACCAGTACCATGCCAGAGATGCATGTATTACCACAATGGTGGCTCTGGTAATGACCAGAAGACTAGCCAACTACCCAGTACATTTAAACTGTGAATTCAATGCCTTACAGCCTCCAGCAAGCCAGAACAATACCATGAAAGTCACCATCATGCTATACAGCAAAAACAATTGAGTTATGCTGACCAGTCATCATTCAATCATCTAGGTGAACCATGACTCCATTGGCCCTTAGCACTTGTAACACCATGGCCTTGGTACAGACATCACCATACCAGATTGGTTTTCCAGCATCTGAATCATACAGTAACAACTACCAGGAGTGGTAGCTACTTCTTCCTGGAGATCACATTTTGACAATATAGAATATATTGCTGCATCTAACAAAGTACAAGTACAAAGACAAAAAAAACATGAATGGATGGTGAAATGACAAGTACGTTGATGTTAGTCAACCTCCATCCTACCTTCATGTCCAGGCACTGATCCAACTGCTGGTGGTGGTGGAGTAATAGAGATTGCCAGACCTCCAGCAGGTCCATGCACAGCTTCAACATTCAAAGGAGGCACTTCCAAGCTGGCACCTCCCTTGAATGAAGCTGGGGGGGGGGGGTTCAGTGGACTCCTGTCTTGAGCCACTTTGGGATGATTGAACCTCAACAACACTGGTTGCAGTGCCAAGTTCCACCATGACCAGCATGTGAGGTACTGGTGTAGGGTTGGAAGTAGCATGAAATGGGATGAGAGGATGGTTAAGCATGTCTGGGGCTGGGCATAGGTGATTACAGATAGCATCTACCACCTGATGGAGAGCAGCAAGCTCAGTATGGGTTACTTCTATCTCCTGCCTCATGTCAGCATTCTCCTGCTTGAGGATGGTAACCTCTTCCCAATACTTGTCACAATGGCACAGATCATTGGCACTGGTTGTAGTAGTTGGTGCTGGAGTAATGGGTGGGTCTGTTGCAATGCTTCTTGCATGAGACCATGACCAGGATAGCCATGATGGAGTAATAATTTCCACTACTCAATAGAAATATTAGTTCAACCAATTAGTGAAAAACATAGGACTGTGAATAACTTACTGGGGCAGCCAGTCCATGGGCCAGGGGACAAATGATGGCTTGTTACTTTGGATGGACTGGCAGATTGATTTTGGCTTGGTGCCCTTTGACATTTGGCTTGTTGACCAGTCAATGGAGCTGGTGCAGCCAGCATTGAAGTGGTGGGAAGGCCAGCCATGTCTTCTGGGGATTATTCCCAGCAAGGCCTTGAATGGGAGGCTTTTTGCTGCATCTCAGACTTGTCTCCCCTCCCCTTGAACAAGCTGCATGAGTATTTGGTACAGTGGCATTGCCAGCATGCCCTGCCAGCTAGCACCATACAGGGCCAACTCCTGTCCTGGCATCTCACACACCACTCAGTTTCCAGCACTACCTCCCAGGACTCAGGAGGGTTGTTGATGTCTTGCTGGTCCTGCACATCCTCATCAACTGCTGGTTTCACCTTCTTCATTGGTCTCCTTGACCAGCTCTGGCCTCTACTGGTCTGATCACTGGCATCAACAGGCTTGGCTGCTGGCCAGCCATGTCTTGACTGGCTACAGCCCTGTGCCTTCTCCCTGTTCTGATCCTCCTCATTTCCTGGCTTCTGCATTGCAACTCCAGTGGTCCTAGCCATGGTTTCTGTGGGCACATCTTTGGATCCCATATCAGCAGTCTACCCAATTGCCTTCCTCAGAATTAGTGCTCACCCAGAAGCTGAATCCTTTGAGCCTCATCTGTACCCAACTCTTTCCCCTTCCCCTTATCCACTGGCTGTGCCTGGTGCTTGGCCCTTGATGAAGGCCTGGTAAGCTCCTCCATGACCTTGTAATATGGGTGAGACTTAGGCTGGTGACAAAGGTGATACCATGCATGATCCTTCACATTGGCCTCTCATGCCATCATCATCTGGTTGAAAGGCAGCCACATCTGCATGGCAAAGATTGTTGCCGGGTCAACCATGTGCATATCGATAGCAATAAGATGCAGAGGGATCTTGAATGCCAGGGGTAGATGTTCAACAACTGTTCAGACCATTCCCTACATAAATGTCAGGAATGGATATCATGACTGCAATTTCACTTACCAGCTGGGCCCACACAAGCTGAGCCACTTTGCCCCAGTGCTTAGTGTCCTGGCCCTGAAGTCCTCTCAGTGCCTGCATTGTAACCCTGGCAGCCTCCTCGACCATCCACTTGGCATTTTCAGTGGTGATGACTGGTTGGATGTTGTCAGTCAATTGTGCTGGGATGAAGGTGCTGGTGTTGGCAGTAGACATAGTGCTGTTAAAGCTTTGGTGTGCAGGTGGTGGGTGCTTGAGTGATGTGGTGAATGCACCAGCTAGCATACACCATTCAACAGGCTTACATAAGCACAATCCAAATGCTCACTCTGGTGATGCTGTGATTTACAATAGTCAATGTACTGGTTTAACCATTGAACATATTTTGGTGGGAGTAATGTATGGCAGTTGACAGTCATTCCACTAAGTGCCCATTTCCATTATGTATGCACTTGCACATCCTGCATGATGACTGGTGAAAAAATATTGTGTAATACAATCTTATCACTGGTACTGAAATCATTCTCAAACATTGGTGAAATCCCCATGGCACCTACAACATTTTGAACTTTCATATGGCTCCCAGAAATGTCAGATTCAGTCCTGGCAGTCCAGATAAACTCCATAAGTCAACCAGTCCAAGGACCATTACTTCTAATGACTGTGTGCAGTAATTCTGTCATGCCATGATATGCAGCAGCTCACATCTCTTGATGAGGATGAGGAAATGTTTACTGAAGATGACCTGCTGGACACTCCATCATCCCTGTTATGTGAGCCACCTTTTGAGCTGTCCCTGGCTCAAACAATACACACAACCAGAACAGAACCCTCCTTCCAGTCCTCTGGTTTGCCCAGATCACCTTTGATAGAGCCAGTATGGGAGTCATTGGCACTGACTCCCTCCTCTAGCAGCCCATTGGTTGAGCCTCCTTGGGACTCCATATCAACATGCCTCTCTGACAGCACCCCATTACTTGAGCTGGCATGGTACAAATCACCACCACCTGTTGCCCCAGGTATGCCATTGCATGAGCCACCTTGGGGGTCACCCCCACCATTTCAGTCCCCACTGGTCAGTCCTTTACAAGAACTGGCATTTCAGTTGCCTGCTGCCACAAGATCATCAGCTTACATCTACCCAACTCAAGCAGCTGGCCAATCATCATGACTGTTCATCCTATTGCATGAGCCCCAATTTTGGTCCTTAACTCCCTCTGTGTCACCAGCCTGTCACAATCCCATCCTGGTTCCCAGCCCAACAACATTTGCATCGCCTGTCAGCAATTTCCCTGGTCCTCATCAACCTATGGACCTTTCAGACACTCCTGCATCATTCAGCTCCACATCAATACCACTGGCTAGATCCCCATCACTGGTGCCAATCCCATTGTCGCATTTAGAGCTTTTAGCAGTCTCCCAGGAGTTCACCATACAGCCAGGAGTTGATACTCCACAAACTGAGTGTCAGTCCAGAAGTTCCTATGCAACCATAGCTAAACATGTCTACCAGTTCAATTGTCAAGGGGGATCTCCAGTATCATGGCTAGGAGTGGGGCACATCAGCCAGACATCAATGCCACACATGAAATCTGATCACTGCATATAGGTATTATGCCAATACCCTGGTGGATGCAACCAGGGAGTGGTGATCACATGTTGAGCAGCATGCCATGCTTACCAGATTCTGGCAACAGTTAGCAGAGCTTCTAGAGGAAGAGCCAGCAGGTGTAGGCTACCATCTTAAACCAGACCAGCTTTAATTTGTATATTTAACTCATTTCAATGAACATTATGTTGAATGGAATTGGAGAAGTGCACAAATTGGCTGCAATTGGATTATGACAGTGGGTTGTGGTACATGGTAGCTATGGGGCCAGTAATTCACTGGCAATTCTTGCACTGTGCACTATATATGGTTCTCACCAGTCTACTGGAAAACAGTAGGTACCAGCCTCAATTCTACCTTTGCCTCCTCATGGTTGGAGTAGGATAATTATCATCTGGCTGCCATGGGGGCCTATGATTCCACTCTGGGCAACAAGCCACACCATCCTCTTCTGCTTGATCCAACAGTCCATCTTCCCTGTCCATTGCATGGTGTCTAGGCCTGGCATTCGAATTCCTACCCACCAGATCAACTCCTGACATAGATAAGTGTGTGTAATTGTGTTATGATGTATACCTATGATCATTAGGTGATATGACCATCTTATCATTCTGGGCTGCTGTAGAATGCTGTAATGAGAGGATTAACCAAGTGTGCATGGAAACCGACCATTGGATCTGATTCTTGGCTTGGGCTTGGGCTTCCTTGCAGTTGAATCGCCACCATCATTGGCATGATTGTCTGATACAATTCTATTAGCAATATTCATTGTTGCTGGATACCACTTACCAGCTGGCTTGGGGTATGCAGTAGCCATATTGTGCTGGTCTGATGTGGACTAGTTCCATCATCTGTTGTCCTCCTGTGCATTGGATGTTCCAGTGGGACGATCTTTGGCACACAATTCCAAGGTCATGTTAGGGTTACCAGTAAAGAATCTGACCAGCTCTGACATACCATCTATCTGTTGCCATTTGGTGGAAGGTTTTGTGGGAGGAGCTGGTTCCTCCTCTGAGTGATGTCCACAGTTGGAGCCATCAACAGAATTTACTTAATGTGTGATCAGTTATGTATATCCAAATTGATCATGACCTCACATTCCATCCAGGGTCTCTTCCCTTTGGCTTTGTCTGACCAGCATTGGTGTTTGGCAACTGGCTCCTCCAGGGAACCATCCTGAGATCTCCACCTTCAGAACTGGAAGACATCTTCTGGGTGCTCCTGCTGTTGCTCCTTCCAGAACTCCAAGGTTTTGATTAGTTCATGATGTGTCAGCCTGGTGGGCTCTTTGAATGGGATATTGGGAGGAAGATACTTGGAAGACACATAGGATGCCCAGTTGTCAGCTATTGCAGCCCAAGGCACACTGCATTTGTCTTCCCACAAGCCAAGCCTGTGTTTAGATGTTAGTAGCTCATCAACCATGGAAATTGGCATGTACAATAATGGCTGGTTACAAACACCCTCATGATGTCCTTTAATTCTGGTGTCCATAAGTCCAAGAGATTTGGAAGAATGGGCATGCCATTGTCATTGGTGGACAGGGAGAATTGAGACCACTTTTTTCCTTTCTGCACTTTTACTGTGGTTTGACTGGCCTCATCCTCTCTACTGCCATCCTCTGCACCATTGGCCCCAAAGGCCTTCTTTGCATAGGCTGACCACTTTCCATGAAGGTCTTCCCAATCTGAATAGAGCTCTCCATTGCCCAGCTCATCATTGAAGTCATTCCTACACTGGTCAGATATGGTGAAGCCTGCCAGGAAAGCACTCACACTCCAACCATCACTTTGCCTTCCTTATCCTTCCATGCCAACATGATCACCACTCTCATCCCACACTGCTTCCACATGTCATACACAAACTGTTTTGCATACTTCTGGCCCTTACTTGTTGCCACCCTGCATTTAAGTTAGTATTGCCCATGGGAGAACTTGGATGCTTACTCTGCCTGGGCTTTGGGTGGCAGCTTTCTCTCATTCCACCCTTTTGCCAAATGGGCTGCCTGATCCAATTCAGCCTTGGTCAATGACTGGCTACCTTCTGAACAGCTGGCTGATAGTGTTTGATCATAGCTGATGTCCTGGGATGTATTCTGGCCTTCACAAGTACTTGCTGGATATCCTTCTTACACTGCAGCTTGATCACCTTTAGGGCCATCCATTTAGAGCCATACTTGACCAGGGCCTTCCATGCATGGGACTGACTGTTGTTATACATCCAGTTCTTGATGGCCTGTAAAATATACTTAACATGACTGCAAGCACATCAAAACTGTCAAGCTTACTGTCCATTTTCTATTCCATTCATTTTGTTTGAGGCTCTTGTTGGCATCCAGCCATTTGATTTTGTTCCACATGCCCTTCATCAGTGAGGCCCTTTTGTTTGTGTCAGCTTCCTTCCAATCATTTAGACCATCTTGGAGGATTTGAAGTTCATCTGGTCTCAGCTTTCCTGGTGCAGATTTTGTTGTCTCCATGCTATCTGAGCTAGATTCCTCATTGGAGGAAAAGTCCTCTTCATCTGAGGTATTAACACAATTAGTACTGTGATCGCTGCTGGCCATTCTGAATGTTGGAGAAGGTGTTGGGGTTGGTTGGTTGCAGGTAATGTTACCCTCTGTTGAAAGAAAATTTGGAGTCCATTCCTCATAGTTTCCATCACCCATTCTTGAATAAAGTTCCAAGGGCCAAGTAATGTTCCAGTCATGATACATACCCATTGTTAGTATGGTCTTGTTCCAGTCAATTGGTACCATGGCCAAACATGGTAAGCTGATTTATCTATCATCCAGTCTGCTACTATATATAGATAAAGTATAGTTTGATCCTGATTGGATCTTCTGACATTGATTCCAAGATCCAACTCAAATCATAGTCGTGCCAGGCATCACAATGAGGCATGTATGGCTGAGGCCTGCAGACATCCTGCAAGGACTTGATACTAGACATGGGCAAGTCACAAATCACCCAAGCTGCAGTGGCCACCCTGGTAACCCATGTCACTTGGAAAAAGGTGAAAACAACCAGGGGATCCAAAGAAAAGATGGTCATGTTTACTCTGAGAAAGAAGGCAAGATATGCAACTGGCCAAAGCAATGAATCACCTACTAGGGCAGGATCTTTGAGCATCCAGGAACCCAATTTAGTCCAGGGTAATGATGCTGACCTATATTGCTACATGGATGATGCATCACCACTGAGGACATCAAGAATTCCAAAAAGCCAGGTGTGCATTATCAAACATCCTGGTGTTGGCAATGTGTGCCTTGTGGTATTACAGAACAGTTATCTGGAAGAGTGGCTGCCCTATAAGAGTAGATACCTGTCTGTGCTCCTGGACATGGAGGCCCTGCCCAATGTCATGGCTTGTTTTGTGTGTAAAGCAGAAGGGGAACCATATAGATGCATGGACTGTGCTTGTTGCCCATTGTCTTGTAAAACATGTTGCATCAAGCAACACAAACTCAGACTGTTCCATTGGGTACAAAAATGGAATGGAAGATTCTTTGAAGACTTCACTCTATGGCTGGTGAGTTCTGGCTTCAACCCATCATCTGTGATGACTGATATCATAGGTTGGTTTGGTCTACACTTGGGCCATGCTGGAGCACCATGCCTGGCAGGAGAAGGTTCTTGGGAGGATGCTGCCAGCCATGTAGATGAAGAGTGGGAGGACATCAAGGAGAGTCAATGACTGGCACATCTCAACCCACCAGATGATAGAAACTATCTGACAGTTGTGGACACTGGCAGCCTACACTTTTGCAATGTGCAGTATTGCAACTGCCCTGGGTCTGAGGATTCACATCTTCAGCTTACCATGGCTGGCCTATTCCCAGCTATGACTAAGGCACCAAGGATGGCTTTCACTTTCCAGGTGCTGGATGACTTCATCAGGGACAATGTTGAATGTGGAACCTCCACCATGAACTATTATAGCAAACTTCAGAGAGTCACCTCAAGTGCATTTCCTCACCTAGTGCTGGTGAGTGCAATCACCCCTGGCCTACCATATGCCACATTGCTCATGCCAGTCAAAGAATAGGTATAGGGAATTTCTCAGGGTGTTGAGAATGTGGAGGCTCCTAAAGCTGTTGAAATGGCAGGGATTCCATCAACAGTCACCTGATCCCCAGGCTGGTGGACTTGTCCTCTTCTGCCCTGCCTGTCCCCAGCCAGGGATCAATGTACTGGATCAGGATATTTATCTCTCTGAGTCCATATTCTATTCATTATTGCAAAGGCATTGTTACCCTGACTTGTGTGGCTGGTGGTTTGCTAGGACCTTTGTGATGGACAGCAACTTCAAGGCCAAGCATATGCTGCCCAAGAATGCTGCTGAAGAGGTCTGGCTCATGGATGGAAATGGCTTCATGGTCACATCAGCTCCATACAAGGAATATTTGACCAGGACTGTAAATTGAATAGAAGTTGGTGTGCCATGATCTCTCCAAAGGCACTGGACTGATTGAGTCATGCAGAAATCTGACTGCAATAACCACCAGGTTGTTAATCAAGCAAATGCACAAAGGAATAAGTTGGAATCAACTAGGATTGGTGGATGTGCCTGTGTGAGGCATGGCTGTTTTGTACCTCATGCAATGGTCGACTTTCAGAAGGGAGAGCAGTATGCACCAATTCATAGTCCCTGGTCATGACTAACAATATAGCAGGCAGGTCAATATGGATTATGCTTTGGTCCATGCTGTGCACCATGGATTGGACCCCTGGCAACTGGTCATAACCTTTTATGACATCAATTGTCAGTAGAGCAAGAACTTGGCCCACCAGCTTGAGGAAAATAGATATCTCTCTCTGCCTTCTGGATTACAGATTCAGCCCAGCATTGGACTATGGCATGTCCATGGCCATCAGACAAAGTGCTTCACCAGATATGCTCCAAACTTTATTCTGGGTGCCAGCTGGGTGGATAGTGAAATCATGGAGACCCTCTGGTCTTCTCTCAACATAATCTCACCATCAGCCTGGGGAATGGCAACAGCACACTTTCAGGAGTTGCTGGACTTCCAAATGATATGGATGCATATGTCATCACAGTACCTGGTTGACCATCATTTGATTACTTGCACATAGTGTTGGCATTGAAACGGAAGTTCAAGGTTGCCAAGCAGTTATTAGCAACAATCCAAGATAAATTCAACAAGTTGGATAGCAAGGTACCAGATGGCTTGCATCAGTTATGGGTGGAACAAGAACTTGTGGCACAGTCATGCTGGCAGAATACTCTGCAGGCCATGGACATATATGAAGTCCAGCTGGAGAAGGGTAAGGGGGCCAACTGTATCATCTGTCCCATAACTTACATACATCATGGTAGCACCCACCATGAAAGCCATTGAGATTGACCTAATCCATAACAACCATTCATTCAGCAGCTCATGTGGTTCAGCTACTTGGATTGCATGGGCATTAAAGGTTGAGCAGGCTCAAATAGTGCTTGCTATGGATACATGACAGATGGACACCAGGGAAACAGAGGCAGACCAGTTGTCAATTTCATGCCAGCAAGACTGGTTGCAATCACAGATTGATGCACTAGTACATGGAGCAGCCCAGTTCATCAGAAATGACTGGCAAGTTAACCCCAGGCAAAGGACCAGAAGTATAGCCCCATTTGACAGGGACAGTAACAATGAAACTGATGATCCATTCCTCCCTGATCATCCTGGTCACCAGGAGGTCAGTGATGTTCCACTGCCATCATATATTGGAGTACAGTATTTCCATGACATTGGTTTCAGCAGTCTTGTGGAATGGGAAATACATCTGAGACAGGGCCAGGCAAATGATGCATTGCATGAATTGCATCTGGCCCTCATGGACAAGGCCATGATATTTCATACAGATGTCTGGAAAGGAGGGAACTACAAGATGACAACCCAGGCATGGGGGCAGATATCCAATGCAGGGACAATGGTTCAGCAGCATGCCACCATCTATCACCAGTGCTGAAAGCAACTCATTGCACTGGGGGCTTGGGAGGACATTCTTGGCAAATACCAAGAATTGAATAGGGCAGACCTGACTGTGAGTGCCACAATTGCAGACCCAAATGCAAGAGGTCATTGCGATGACACTCTGGCCTAGTTTTGGACTGTGGACCTTCCCTTGGATTCTGCCATGAATGACAGGATGTCAGAATGTAGGCAGATCAATTGGGCTTGTGTGATATACTGACTGAATTATCACAGTTTATTGAGTCAACTGGCTGTGTACAAAAGCACTATGGGATTGCTGGGAAGAAGAGCTAGAGTTACTCACACTGGAGACTGGGTGGACACAGAAATTCTTCTTACACAAGGAGAACTTCTGGAGTGGCCAGCATATGGAGGCACTGGCAGTGGGCAATACCAGCTTTGCATGTTATACAGCTAGGCAGTCCCAGATGTATTGGGATTTAGCCAGAACACTAGGATGTACTTCAAGATATGAATTGGAAGAGTAATGTGCATATATCTCTAGATAGTATGAAACCAGGGAAATTACATATCAAGATTCTAATGAGATGTGTAATGAGGACAGCACCCTATGTATTGGTGGCTCCTGGCCAGGTAACTAAATTGACTTGGAAGTCCTCAAGCTGGTCCTGTACTTGTCCAAGCCTGTCAAAATGGGTGAGCTGTTCACTGCAGAATTCCATCACACCATGGAGCCAGTGAATCTCCTCCTCCTGATGGATCATCTCATCACAGCTTTCAATCAACTGGCCAATGCTGTCTGATGACATCTGGTCCATGTCACACAGCAGTGGGAAACTGTCTTTTCCTTCCTATGGCATGGATGGATTCAATGGAATGATCAAAAAATGAACACTGCACACCTCAAAGAATTCCTTGGCCTCCTGCAAAACTTCCTCCAATGACCAATGATCATACCCATCCAGATGGGTAGGGTCCCTTGTCCACCAGGTATGTGGCATAGGACTGGTGTGGATCATATGTCTCACCTCTCCTCTTTTGACCTGCAGCACATTCAACTCCATGATGTGTGCCAGCAGGGCAGTCTCTCCCATATTTTGTATGGCCATCCACCAAAGCAGTTCATTGGCAACATATGGAACCTTCATGATTGTCCCATATGAGTTGCAGGTAGCCAGGGGCCTGCTTCAATATATGCTGTGGAAAAGTGCATGACACAGCAAACCAGCATCCATTTTGACAAACTCACTGTTTCCACCTGAACCTGCTGCAAAGCATATGTGAACCATCTAAATCAGACACCTATGTATTGGATTATCATGGAGAGGTAGGATAGATTAGTGGTCCTGGCATCCATGGTGATTCAGAGTAGAGTTGGATTGGGTGCAAATGTTATTACATAGCAATGTGGCTGACACATGTGATGACTGCAAGATAAGAGATCATCAATAATCACATCCCAGGAGGCCAGAATAGCAAGTGGCCTATCCCAGCACAGCAGTTATCATGGGCCAAGTGGCTGGATATCAATCTGAACAAGACTGATGTTGATCCCATAGTGTATCTATGCATTACCAGCACCACCAGACCAGTACTGGGAAAGGCAGTGTTGCATTTTCTAAATGGCTGTGGAATAGGCAGTTAGTTGGAAAGGCCCCAGGCTATCATCCAATGCTTGTGGACAGTGTATAATGAAAGGTCCACATGCTGAAATATGACTGGTGTGGTAGGAAGTGTAGCTAGTGCCAGACCCATAGCAGAACATTGTATCTGTGCATTACCAGCACTGCTGGACCTGTACTAGAAAAGGCTGCATCATGTTTTCTCAATGGCTGTGGAGTATGAAATTAGGTTGAAAGGCCCTGGTCCATCATCTAATGCTTTGGCATGGTGTATAAAGGAACATGAACACCATGAAATGGAACTGGTGTGGTAGGAAGTGTAGCTAGCACTGGAGCCATAGCAGAACTTGCCATCTATTGCCTCTATCATGGTACCTGTACCATGCTGGAATAATATGTGGAAGCCAGAGGTACTATGCCACCATGGTGGCACCTGTTTTTGAAGGCCAGAATGGTCATTTACCAATGCTGTGTAACCATGGCAGCTTCACTATGGTCTGGAAAACACCAGCATACATAGCCATGGTTCCATACTACACACTACAGCTACCAGGTAACCCATCATCAACACTGTGCTCACTATATTGTCTTCTGTTCTTAATGGCAATAAATCACAGTGCCACCCAGGATATTACACACTATATGTGCTGGGAATTTTCCAGTCAAACCTTCCCAGGACTGAATGCCCCTGAACCAGATCCTCCACTCTACATTCCAACACATGGCATTGTTGCTATGAACCAGATAGTGGCCAGCATGCATGCAGCATACAATAATAGAAGTAAGCTGATGTCCCAGCTGAGTGTAAAGTCAAATATAAATTGTATTGCAGAGCAAAGTGGCATTGATCTGATCCAGCTTTCTGAGCACCTTTCAGCTATGGAATTGGGGGTTGATGAAACCTGGGAGGCAGGCCACCTGGCAGTGCATCCATCAAGTCTCACTGGCTTTGTGGATGAACCTATGGTAATCCTTGGTACCAGTGATACCATTGCATTGTGGTACCTTCCTGGTGCCATCACCAATGATTTGCAAGTCAGTTTGAACATTTCCTTTACACTCTATATTATTCAGGCATCCCTGCAGACACACATGCTTGCCACTCTGGATCCCCTTCACCATGCAATGTCCAAGAATATGACAAGTGGCTCCTGGCAGAAAAATGCTGAATATTTCAATCACACTTCATGGTCACCAGGGTACCTGGAGTTTTCCCTGGCCAGGCACCAACAGGGACATATGGTATGGCTATATTACCTCAGGGGTATGTCTCTCAAGTGGCACCCTAGCCATGAACTTTTCCCCATCAGCTTCTGCTGACCTACAGATGGATGCTAGTCATGAATGGTCCCAGCAGTCTTACCTCCTGGCTGCCATCCTCTCCAGTGCACTTTCAATTATGCACCCAGGCCTGTATGACGCTGGAAGGCAAGCCATGCAGTCATTGGACACATGGTCAAGTCAGCATAACCAAGATATGCATGATGCCTTGCAGCACTGGCCATTGGTTTTTACTAATGTTTCCATAATCTCTGACTGGACCACACCCTTTCACCAGGACCCACACTCATGGTCCGATTGGTATGACATGCTGGTCACAGTTGGCAGTTATGAAGATTGTGTATTGGATATCCCCATGCTTGGCCTTCAGTTCCTTTACAACCCTGGCACTGTAGTTGCATTTTCCAGCAGGCTTCTTCGACATGGGGTTAGTTCTGTGGGTGGGAACTGATGTTGCTTTGCCTACTACATGAGGGACAACATACACAATTGGATAGGGATACCCCATGGGGACTGGATGAGAGTTCAGAATGTCCAGACTTGGTTGATGCCTGCAGGTCTGGTGGGACATTCCATATAACCCACACTTATCCAATAGGGGGTCCATGTAAAGGTAGTTCTATAGATATTATATGCCATCCTGAGCCAAGTTATTTTCCATATACCTCCCCCAAATATCAACTATGGCTGGCCCATAATTGGCAGAACACTTCAACTCAAGCCAAATCCAGTCAGATGGCACACTGGGAGATTGGCTTGCTTGTTGTGCATGAGACTGTGGCATATGTGTCAGACCACATGGATTGGTGATCATAATACATGGGCTGATTTGAGACAGATAGGACACCATATTGTGGGCCTCCCATACACCATGAAACACTGGAGTATTCATCCAGCCTGTCCTACAAGATCATAATATCTGGGCCCTCCCCAAGGACATGGTACAATGGACTATAAGCCCTCCATAGTACATGGGCACTCCTATTTGGGCTGAGGCTGATGTGCACGGCACACTGAAATATGCTCCTACTGTTCCAAATGGAACACTGCAGGTCCAGCTGAGCCTTATTGCATGGGCCACTGATATATAAGCCCCATAGACAATAGCTTCCTAGCCAAGCCAATATATATGGGACACTATTTGTATGGCTCATCCATTCACCAGGGGATGCCAAAAGACTAGCCCATCATCTACACTAGTAACATTAAGCAGCCTTCACTGGGCATCCATGCCAATCAACTACCATAGGCTGGGCATCTGTCCCAGTCCCCTAGCATAAGGCCAGTATGTGTTCCAGGTTATGGTCATCTACTGGGAATTTGGCCCAGCTGACTGGACTTTGCCAGAACATATACCAGCCCAACAGAATCCCACTGGAGTGCCTTCTGAACCACTGTAAATAGCCCAGAGGGTGTCATCCATCCTGGCCAACTGGAGTTGGTTCAGAATTGATGCCAAACAACTGCCACCAGCCCTGGACCTGTGCTGGCCCACTATATTGTGGCTGGTAGGTGTCTGTCCTGGGTCATGGTCATCAACTGGGAATTTAACCCAGCTGACTGGAATTGGCTGGAACATATACTGGCCCAATACTGTCCCACTGGAATGCCTTCTGAACCACTGTAAATAGCCTGGAGTTTGTGATCCATCCCAGCCAACTGGAGGTAGTTAGGAATTGATGCCAACCAACTGTCACTGGCCTTGGCCCCCTGCCAGTCCCCTAGATTCAGCCTGGTAGATATCCCAGCTCACTGGCAAGGGATCTGACCCAGCTAACTGGAAATGTCAGGAAGTCATACTGGCCCAATAGAATCCCACTAGTGTTCTTTCCAAACCACTGGAAATATCCTGGAGGCTGTGATCCATCCAGCCCACCTGGAATTAGATGAGCATCCATGCCCACAAACCACCACCAGCTTATCCTCTATTCTGGCATATTTGCACTATACTGGTATGGATCCCAGCTTACTAATACCAGCATGAAAGCTGGCTAGCTGTATATTCCAACTACCCACTATAATCCAGGCACCCATCATGGCCACCTGCATAAGGCCAGTATGTGTCCCAGCATACTAGAAGTGACCATAACTCATACTGGCTCAATGGATGTACAGTGGTATGCCTTCTGACCCACTGGAAATAGTGTGGTGGCTGTCACCCATACTGGCCAACTGGAATTAGCTCAGCATCCATGCCAACTGACCATCACCACCTTAGCATCTGTGCCAGCCCACTAGCATAAGACCAGTATGTTTGCTGGCTTATTGGCATTCTCCCAGCATTTGTCCCAGCTTACTGGAATTAGCCCAGCATTCATACCAACCCAATAGAATTACAGTGGAATGCCTTCTGACCCACTGGCAGTCACTGACACATGCTGGGCCCATGCCAGTGAGCCCAGACCAGGTTAGTACCAGACCTTTCCCAACTTGCCAGAATCCATGCCAGGATTATCCAGGCAAGATGTATATAGTAGTAACCCCTCAGCCACACTGTACAGTATGGTGACATCCAATGATCATGGCTATGCTGTGTGACACAATGACAACTCAGAGGTGGGCTTGACTTTAGCCAGTCTGTGCAACATGGCTGATTGTCAACCTTGTTTGGTCATATGATACAGTACAAAGTAGGTACATTATGTGTGCATTGTGGTGCATGAATCTAAGTGACTCAAAACCTTCTCCAGGTCTTGTATACCAGGATTTTGGAGCTTGTTTGAGTCTGTAGAGTGCATGATAAAGGCACCAGATGATGTTGCTAGAGTCTCAAAAGCCTGGAGGGGGGCAAAGATAAATTTCTTCCTCAAGTTTGCCATTCAAAAAGGCAGACTTCATGTCCATCTGATGAACTTTGAGATTGTACTTAGCAGCATGGGGAAGTAGAATTCTTATTGTAGAGAACTTAGCTATGGGTGCAAACATCTCCATGTAGTCAATACCATGTACCTGTGTGAATCCTTTTGTAACAAGTTGCACCTTGTATTTATCAATTTTGCCTGTTGGTCCTCATTTTATTTTATAGACCCATTTTGAGGCAATGATCTTTCAATCAGGTGGCCAAGGGACCTCCTTGTATAATCCTATATTTTTAAATGTTGTGAGTTCATTGGCCATGGCTGCATACCAGCGATCAGCATCAGGACAATGCATTACCTCTGTGAAGGTCACTGGTTCATGATCACATGACATGTTTGCTTGGTAAGCATTGTGGTGTTGCTGTTCACCATGAGGCCTATCACTGCCTTCACTCACCATTTCCACACTCTCTGGCACTCTCTTGCCACTCTCACCACCTTTGTCCCTTCCCACAGAGTCCCCCACCACAGGTAGTGTCTGTCATTCATAGGTGTTGATGAAGTAACATTGATCATCATCTTTTACAGGTGTTTTTCAAAGTCTAGATGATCTTCTGACACCTGGAGGTGGTATTGGGACTGGATATGGTCCTGGAGGTGTTTGTGGTGACCCAGGGCATTGACCAAGATAGGCATTGCCTGGTGCCTTCATTCCAAGGTGTGTTTGTCCCTGTCATTCCCATGGTTTGACCCACTAACACCTTTTTCATTCTGGACTTGAGCTCTGGGCTCAGGTGTCAAAATGTCCTGATCATTTTTGATTGCCTCATCACCATTAGTAGCTGTAGTGTCATCTAGGTCCCCCCAGTCATGTACTAGGTTATTTCCTCCTTCCAAGGCTGCATCTGAGCTGTCAGAGCCACTATTTTCCTCTGTAGGTTGGTACTTGTGCCCTCAAGCATTCTGATCACTGATAGCAGGCACTACAGGCTTTGTTTCCTTGACAACAACATCAATCTGGACTTGGGACTTGTCTGTCCCATCTCCCTCAGTGAAAACAACATCACATGTCTCCATGATCCAACCTGAAGTCTTGTGTACACAGGTGTACACCTTCTTGTTCTCTGAGTAGCCTAGGAACTGACATTCGAGGAACTTAACTCCCAGCTTCTGCCACTTTTCCTCAGGTATGTGGGTATGTGCTGTGCATCCAAAAACCTGTAAATGAGAAATTACTAGTTTATTTCCTGTGTATGCTTTGTAGGGTGTAAGATCTTGCTTGAGTGCCCTTGTAGGCAGGTGATTTATTATGTGTGCTGCATGGAGGATTGTGTCTCCCCAGTACTTGTTGGGTAGGCCAGCATTGCTTAGCATAGCATGTGCAGATTCTGCAATGGTGTGATTCATGTGCTCTGCTGCTCCATTTTCCTGTGGTGTATATGCATTCATCTTCTCATGGTGTATCCCTTTGGACTTCAGGTAGGCTTCAAATTCCTTTGAGCCATATTTGCCACCACCATCACTCCAAAGATAGTTTGGTCAACAACCTGTCTCTGCTTCTGCTCTCTCAAAGTACTGCTTTGTGAGTGCAAGGACTTTGTCCTTTGATTTAGCCAATTTCACCACTAGATGATGTGAATGGCCATCAATGAAGGTCATGAAGTACTTGTGGCCTGTCTGTGCTGTTGTTTCCATGGGTCCACATACATCTGTGCAAGTCTGATGTAGTATGCCTGGATTTTCCATGTCTGACTTCAATGAAATAGGGTCCCTGTGTTGTTTGCCTTTGAGACAGGCCTTGCATGTGCACATGCTGATCTCCCTGGTCCCTATGACATCCATTCTGCACACCATGTCCTTGTCCAGCAAATTTAGGACATGTTTGACATTGGCATGTCCAAGATGGTGGTGCCATGTAATTAGAGTAGTTTTGGATATTGTCATCCAAGGGGTGAGAGACATGTGTGGCTCATTTGCATTGAGTGCATCTGGGGTATTGATGATATAGGCAGCATGGCTCTCTGATATGACACTAGTTTCAAGTATGTAGAGGGATCTGCATTTGGTGGTGAGAGCTACAACCTGGCCTTCTGCATGAACCTGGAATGTCCCTTCTCCAAAGGTAACTTTCAGTCCTTTCAAGGCCAAAGAGGGGACTGACATGAGATTTGTGTTGAGATCAGGAACATAGTATATGTCTTGTAGGATGGTTTTGCTTGTGCATCCATCCTCAAGGTGCATGGAGAGTTCAATTCTCCCCTTGCCTATGGCTTGGATTGTTCTGCCATTGCCAATGATCACTGGTTGAGAGGGTACCAGTTTTCTGAATGTCGTAAACCATGACTGCTGGCAGCACATGTGTGCAGAGGCCCCAGAGTCTACAACCCACTCTGATGTGCTAGTTTCTGGGCATGCACAAGCTACAAATAAGTGAAGAGGGCCTTCCTCTTCTTCTGCCACAGCTGCAATCTTGGCTGTCAGTTCTGACCTCTCCTTTGACTTGTCCTTATCCCCATGTGAGGTACTTTGGGATGGAGCTTTAGCTGCTTTGTCTGCTTTCTTCTTGTAGTATTTGTCCTCTGTGTGTCCCATCTTGCCACATGGTGCATAGGCACACTTCTTCTCTTTCTTCTTCTTGTCTGCTGTTTTTGACTTCTTGCCTGTGTTTGTCTTTGCAGTGAGAGCAGAATGTGGTTTTGAAGTTTGTTGTGACTTTTCTTTGACAAGGACTTGGGAAATAACCATCTAAGGAGTTATCTTGTCATTCAATGACATTAGGATTGTGCAGAGGGTAGAGTATGATGGTGGGAGTGAGATGACCATTGCAATGGCTACAAGTGAGTCCTTGAGTGGTTGTCCAAGCAAGGTGAGAATATGGGCCTCCTGATGCATTGCATTCAGCTGCATCTCCATCAGTTGGTCATCTGCAAGTGTTCCTCAGAACAACTTGCCAATGAGGCAGGCAACAGCCTGCTTGCCTTTTCCTTCATATCTCTCACTGAGTTTCTTCCATGTCTCAGCAGCAGTTTTCACATACAGCACTCCACTAAGGGGTTTGTCCTTGAGTGTGAGTGTGATCTGTGCACATGCTTCCTGGTCCTTGAGGAGCCATTCTTCATACTTGTGAGGATGAGTTTTCTGGTCTGGAGGTTTTACCTCCATGTCTGTACCAGCAACAATGGTCCAGAGGCCATGAACTGTTAAGACTTTTTGCATCTGTAATTTCCACATTTGATAGTTCAAACCATCATCTGCAAGGGGAGCTATGTCATAGAGGCAGCTCAAGCCTTGTGAGACTCTCATAGAGGTAGAGGCTGATGTATTTGAACTTGTGGATGGGCCTAGAGCCTGAGATGTTGATGCTGAAGGTCTGGATGACATGTCTTACTGTATACTGTGGTACCACTTGGTTTGAGTTTGCTACTGTAACGTTAGAGCTGCTTGGGGCTCATAACCTCTTAAAGGCAGACTGAGATGAGGGACCTAGGAAGGAGACTACAGCAGTAAGTCAGTAAGGTAGCTATTAATTAATAAAGCAGAACAGTTACCTCAGGCTTCAGTTAGAAGAAGTCTGAGGTACACCTGAAGGGAAAACAAACCTCCTAAGTGGGAAGATTTATTATGGTGGCTTGTATGATGTAAGCAAAAGTCAGGTAAAGGGGACAATGCTTCAACACATATGGGGATTCCAATTCATCTCAGAGTGTCCTCTTCATTACTCTGACCCCACGTAGTCCATTTAGTCACAACATATAGGTAGCCTGCATGCCAAAATGCCAACACTTATATAGACCCCATGATGGGCCCATCTAAATAGATTAGCCATGACACATGGACAGGCCTGAGGGCCTATAGTGAGAGCAACATATGTATGGGCCTGTAAGCACAATTCCACAACATATGGGAGGGCCTGTGGAGGGTAAGGATGCTGCAACATATAGACAGGCCCATGACCAAGTAAGTATGCTGAGCTACTGTAAGACATGGACAGGCCCATCCATGGTAGGGTGTGCCCCAGTCACAATATCAGGATGGGCCTGCCTATTGTATCATGAAGAAGGTCACAACATATGGATGGGCCCACCCATCATATGCTTTATAGGGTCACAACATAAAGAGGGGCCCCTCTATGTTAGATTACAGAGTTGGCAACATATGGAAGGGCCCATCTTTGGGATAATATACCCCTGTCACAACATATAGACAGGCCCATCCATAGCAAGATGTATGCCTGTT